ATAGCAACTTCGCTTTTTAGTTAACTCGGATATTTTAACATTTCTGAAACAATATTTTCTAATTGGTAAAACGTAAAAAATCGGTAGATTTGACAACTCTGTTGAACCTGGTCGTTCATCTGGCCGCAGCTAAAAACGCAATACATCCGGCCAGCCGACGGCCAGGTCGTTGCGACCTGGTCGTCAGTGAGTGTTTGATATCAAAATTCATAAAATTTTACAGATAATTTAAGTATGTAATAAAAAATGGGGGTAGCCATTTAAAATAAGAAAGTTGCTGTCAACTTCCGGTATTTTCGGAAGTGCCGCCATATTGAAAATATTTTTAATCGATAGATGTCGTAAAACAGTGATGTGCAAAAAATCTCCGATCTAGATATTGTAGTTCTCTAGAAACTTCTAATGCACGCTCAGCCTGGGACACCCTGTATATTTCTTATGTTATTTTATTTAGCTTTATGAGCCCGCCATTAAGTATGGTTGTAATTTATTTGTATATTGAGTAAAAATGATTTTTAAATGGCCGTAGTTTAAAATTCGAGAAAAATATATTTTTTTTTGGAAATAGATTTGTGTGTCTGGGAACGGGGGTCCAATCCTATTTCAATCTTTTTATACGTAGTGTTAATTTTTGACAAGTTTAAAGTCGTTTTTATTAAATAACGTCTAGAGATTGACCTCGCCAAAATTATTATCGATTGTCATTCCCCAGCCATCTTTGACGCCCTTTTTTTTTCGAGCATACAGCATATTTTTACACTAGAGTTAAAGTTTTATAAAGGTATGCTGCATTTTCTTCGCTCAGTGGGATGTATCATACAATTTCAAGTCAAAAATACCATATAGTCAAAAGTTTTTCGAAATACCGTATGATCGAAAGAAAAACGGCGTCCAGTTACCTTGGAAATGACGATCGGTGACAGTTTCCATACAATTTTACATATAAAATGGCAGCGATTTTCATTTCCAAGCCAACATTTTTCAATCATATTGTATAACCATTTTTAAATTAAACGTTCTGCATATTCAAGAATCTTCCATAATAAAAACAGGATATTCTTTATTCTTTTAATCGGGAGTATTTTATAATAGGATTCTTTAAAACTATACTATAGTTTGTACAGGGTGGGTCAAATTGGATGCTTTTAAAGGGAAACACCCTTTTCTATAGGAGATAGACGAAAACTAATATCGGTGTCTGGAGCTCAATTTTTATCAAAAACATGATGGTGAAAGTCGCACATCGATATCTGTTACTATTTCAGAGTTACGGGGTGTTTTTCAAAAATATGCATTTTTAACAAATCGCTGTAACTTTTTTGCTATGGAAAATTTTGTATTTTTATGAAAACATTTCCAAAGCAGCTTTTTACGTAGAATAACGTAGTTTAAGTATAATTTTTTTAAAATTAATAATTTAAGAATTATCAACAGAAAATTTGATTTTTTATATGGGACACCCTGTATATTTGTAATTTATTGAAAAGAATTTAAAATTACCTTTCCAAAAATATTACACACTTGATATTTTGCTCGAATCCTCTTCGAGATATAGAGTATATAAAAATTCGCCGGCTTTAAATAAGTAGGCTTTGAACGGCACCGGCTGTAATGCAAAAAAATTCTAGCTGTGAGCATCAATTAAAACGAAAATAATATTTGCTATGAGAGATGCAGAATTTTATAACAATTTAAAATATATTTAACCAACATATATTTTTGGAAAGGTAATTTTAAATTCTTTTCAGTTAATTAAAAATATAGAGGGTGTCCCAAATAAAAAATTAATTTTTCTGTTGATAACTCATAAATTTATAATTTTAAAAAAAAATACTTAAACCATTAAATTCTACGTAAAAAGTTGCTTTGGAAATGTTTTCATAGAAATACAAAATTTTCCATAGCAAAAAAGTTACAGCGATTTGTTAAAAATGCACATTTTTGAAAAACACCCCGTAACTCCGAAACGGTAACAGATATTGATGTGAGGTTTTTGACCATCATGTTTTTGATGAAAATTGAGCTCCATACACCGATATTAGTTTTCGTCTATCTCCTATAGAAAAGGGTGTTTCCATTTAAAAGTGTCGAATTTGACCCACCCTGTACAACATAGAATTCTTACAATGACAGTAATTGTCTGTTATTTAAATTCTGATGTAAATTGTTTTTTTTTCTATCAGTTTCTGAATGTCATCTGTCGAAATAGCCATTTGTCTCGTTAGACAGATTTTATTAATCATTTAATCACTGAAATTCACGTTCATTTACATTTCATAAATGATGGTATTTTATACATAGTCAGGTACCGTATGATCGAATAAAAACGGCGTCAGCGATGGCTATGAAATGAAGATCGCTGTCATTTTATATGTAAAATTATATTGGAAATGTCATCGATCGTCATTTCCAAGCCAATTGGACGCAATTTTTTTTCTATCATACGGTATTTTATATATAGTCAATAAATTGTTTATTAGGATGAATACGTGATAAATGCAACTGGAATTTAACAAATTCAATCTGATAAAATTATAAACATTTCTGCTATTATGATATTTAAAGAAAAATATTCGTTTAAAAATAAAAATTTACGATACAAATACATATTCAAAATTAAATATTTATGCGTTTATTAAGTGTATAATTTATGTTAAGGTCAAAAAAATAAACTTCAAATCACATTATCACCATTTTTATAAAATGGTTGGAATGGTCAAGGACATGCGACCTTTGACAATGAAAGATAAACGTACTTCCAAATTTGATATTGTTTTTGATTCAATGCAAATAAAGAATTTAGGTTTCACTATATTTAATTTTTGTAAACAAATTCCTTTGCTATTTTAAAATTCGCATAAACATTTCTTTTATACAGGGTGACCCATTATTTTTAGACGACACTAAAACTCACGAAAACCTCAGAAGCATTCGGATCCTACACGAAGAGTTCGGTTTTGTTCGGCGAGAAGCGCTTTGCGGGAATTTTGAACATTATGAATAATCAAGAATCGAACAATAATCACAGACAATAATTATGCGAAATTGCTAACAGTAGTTGACTGTTTTGGTTGTTCATTTTGTTTTTTTATAGTTTTTGACTATTTTTAGAAATATGGCTATATTTAAAAACTGATCTGCATTCATATATTTTTAAAACATACAAATATCGTTAAAGTTACCAAATGTAATTTGTCATTATTTGCTCATTTTAGAAGGAAAGTGGTTAATGTATTTGGCTGATATTTGGTAATATACCTATATTGCCTACATCAAGTGATTTTAGTCAAAGTTGCATTGATTATTGGTGTAAATTAAAAATTGTTTCATTTGCAGATTGCATGATCACTATCTAATTTGATGCATAAGTGAGAACCATAGCTTTACTTGGAGAGAGCTCATTATTCTCAAATTCTACTCTCAGATCTTTTATTAAAATATCAGTTCTTAAATTGAATCACATTTTCATGGGGAAATAAACGTTTTGGGAAAATTTGTTACCTTAATTACTGTAACATATTAGAAATAAAAAAACAAATTTATATAGTTCTAATTAATAAAATTAGAAATTAGAACTATAAATTTGTTTTTTGCTGAATGTTGCACTTTCGATTACGGCCTATAAGAAGAAACTGCAAGAAACTTATGGCTGTTCTATGTCAAGAAAATACAATAATTACAACAATACAAAATACAATACAATAATTTTAACAATAAACAATACCACATTGTATAGGTTAGTAGTAAGTAGCACAGAATAAATATAAAACCCTTAAGTTTTTTTTCCACATAGTCATTATAATTTCTTGGCTTGGCGAATGCATAATTTATCTTGATCTTCTGTTTTTCATACCACATTGTGAAATTCATACCACATTTGTGAAAGGCTGCCGACCGGGTCTCAATAAACTATCTTTCTCGCGCTTATAGATACTGATAAGACTTTCTTATCGCGCTCATTTAAAATCTTTATTCGCGTCTGGCAAGTATTAAATCCCATTGAATTCGTCTGGTAATTAACACATATTTTTTAATATCACCTAATACACACGCTGTAAAAATTTTAGAATGCCTAAAGTATGTTTTCCAGGTATAATAATTAAACATATTTGGAATAGTCTGGTTACACTTTAAACCCGGAAAAAAAGTCTGGCATACTTATTTCTAGGTTAAATAGATGCTAAAATTTAAGAATAAATAAATTTCAAGTTGCCTAAGGAATGTTTTTTGGATTTATTTTTTTGCAAATGTTATGGGTTGCGCAGTAGCGAAATACCCCCAACCCCCCAGCCAGACTTGGGTTCACCAGTTAATAAACTATACATTTTTAGTTATTCTAGCTTGCCTAAAATATGTTCTCTAAATATGTCGTCAGCTCTTAGGCTATCTTTAAAGTTTTGTATTATGTTTCCTGTCTGGAATTTTACTTTAATTTTTATATCCGAATTTGCAATGATGCATACAATTGCAAAATATTTTTTTAATTGCATTTTTTTGAAATTCCGATCGAAAAATCTTTTATAACATTTAAATCTGACTATTGTTAGAAATCTTTTTAATTACAGTACAGTACGTCTGTCCGTTCTGAAGCTACGGGGTATCCGTGAGACGGTGACGCACTCGTCAAATCGACGTATAAAATATATTGCTGTTTATTTAAATGTTTTTTGTCCGCATTCCTTTCATAGACACAGATCCAGTAGATGTACTGTACGTCTGCTGGATCTGTGTGTATGAAAGGAATGCGGACAAAAAATATTTAAATAAACAGCAATTTATTTTATACGTCGACTTAACGAGTACGTCACCGCAAATCGCTCCGCCCACTCATTTTATTGGATACTTGCAAATTTGTTGAATTTTTATTGATAGGAGGCGTCGTCTATTTTTTTACGAAAAACATCGAGAGAATATCGTTTCCCCTCTCACGGATACCCCGTAGCTACAGAACGAACAGACGTACTGCACTTGATATTTATCTTAATGAAATATAATTCCAGAATTCCTACTACTATCTATTAAGGCGTTATTTGGAGAGTATTTACGTGGGATGCGAGGCAAAATCAACTTTCCTCAAACTAATCCAGAAGATCATGGAACTGCATAAAGTTAATGAAGAACTCATCAACGTCTTATTAGATGTAAACCCATCACAAGTTGAACCATTACTAATAGAGATATTCGATTTAAAATAGCATTTATTTAATTTATTATAGGTAATTTGAAAAAACCCTAATTTTTAGGTATTATTTTATCTGTATAAATATTGTATATAGTTCCCAACCTTTATGCTCAGGTATTTTCAGTTTATCTTAAAGTATATTAAAGGTATTTTGATAGTTTTTAAGATTAAATAGTTGACTTTATTGTTTTTACTAAAGAAAATTTACAAAATTATATCTTATAACTCTCTTGCTCATTAAAAAAACCTTATAAGCTTAGATAGGATCAATTTGTGATACAAATGACTGTTAAATCCCCTAGGCAATAATGTACAAAATCAGTTGTAACTATTTTAGTTAAATAAAAAAAATAAACACTAATTTTTGATTTTATTAAATATCAACCTTATTTACAATAATATATACCACAAAAAACACTGTTCAGTACACTAAGAATCGTTAAAGTGTCCGGATTTTGTACTTCTGTTTACTGATAGTGTCCGTTTTTTCACTTGTACACTTTCTTTTCTGCCCATGATTGGACTGGAACCGCTTCCCATATTTCTAATTAGGTTTTTCAAACTTTTGCCTTGACTATCCGCATTATTAGTCTCCTGAGCTATAATGTAGAAGTCATCTAACAAATGGCTTGGTGGATCCACTTGGCAAGGCGTTACATTTGTCTCGGAACCCCTGTCAATGAGCAAAGCCAAACGGTTTTTCAACGATTCGTTCTTTTGCTCTAATTTGGCAATTTTATTTGAATCTTCTTCAAAGTTAATGAGTGTAGGTGTGGGCATATGCTAAAAACTATTATTTAGATATTTAAAAACCAAAATTCTGAAAATTACCTGAAATACAGTTGCCAGAAAATTGTGTAAAGATACTAACACAGTATCTTGCCACTGTTTTGTAAAGTTTAATGCAAAGGTAGGATTTTCCTCTGGATTTTTTATATATGGTAAAACTGAAGCAAATTTGGTTTAGTAATGATTATGAAATAAATAGAAAATGAACTCACCGAACCAATCTTTCCAGTCATTTTGATTTTGTAACTCTGGAGTCATCTTTAAAAAGAAATCTATTACCTTATCTGGCTTATTATTGGTTACTGCATTGACCAAGTACAATTTTAGTACTGCAGTTTCTAGTTTCTTTACACCTGAAATATATCATATACATAACGATAAGTACTGTGATATAATTGCAATATAAACTCATTTACTTGGTGCAAAATGACTTTCAAGTTTGGTGAAAATATTCTTGTCGAAATGGGCCCATAGTTCCCGAAGTCCATTTAGGTCGTAAACTGATATTAAGTGAATTAATTGATCGATTATTTTATCCACTCTGAAGCTTTTATCTTTGTCCAATTTCAAATCTGCATCGAAATTCTTTAATGTTGAGGCAAATCCACGGAATACTAAATACTCCCGAATTAGTTCATCTATATATTGAATATGTGACATTATTTTAAATACAAAATATTGGTTTATTTATGTAAAATGAAAAGCATTTAAAATAAACTAAAAAGTGCCTTTTAAATGTTTGTGTTTAATCTTCTTGACAATCAGCTGTTTTCTTCCTACAATGTTGCCGGATGTTATATAAATATATTTTTTTTCTTTATAAAACAATCTAATTTATAACTTAAAGTTCGATTATTAATATATTAAAATCCACATAACGTTGTTTAAATACATTAGTTTCATGTGCATCAGCAAGTGCATTAGTAGATATTAAAAATATGTAAATGATTTTTATTGAAATAAATTTGGCAAGCCATTGTCATTTATACGTCGGTTGTCAAGGTGGTCAATTGTCTGTTGTCTGTCAGTTTATTATTTTTCTTTTCGTTCTTCACCTTACGAAGGTTCTTTTTTGTTGGTTGAAGGCAATCGGGTTTACAAGATGTTGAATATTACATCATTTTACCCGTTTTGAATTGATATTTGCGAGCAACCTTCGTTAAAAAATTCGTTGTGAAACCGCGTTCTGAAAACCTTCAAAATGTTATTCGTTCGCTCGCTCTGTTTGTGTGCACACTATCATGAATGTTTTCCAAATGTTTTCCCAGTTTTCTGAAGAAAGTTTTCTGCATTTTCTATACATATATTTTAAAGATGTGCAATAGCGAAAAGAAAAGTGATGGGAAGTTTAATACGTATTCCTTTAAACCCTTCAAGTACGAGAAGGTGGTGTTTTCTTCTTCGAACAATAAAATTCCACCCCCGAGAAGTGGCCATCGTATAGGGGCCGATTCGGCTAATTTCTACTCGTTTGGAGGATACAATCCGTTGATAAGGTTTGAAGAATATCATTATGAAGACGATTCTTACATAGATTCTTATCCTTTATTCCAAGAACTTTGGAAATTTAACTTTGCTTCAAGGAAGTGGACAAAATTTAGGAATAGCCCTACATTACCTAAAGAATTAGTATCGAATGCTGTGATACTACATCAAAATATACTAATGGTGAGTGCAATAAGTGATAGTTGTAATTTTATTTAAGGCTAAATGTTATATTGAAAGTAAATTTGGTGAAATATTAACTTTAAACTAATAACACACATTGAAATTATTCCAATACAAATTTTGTTTATATTTAATGGGACCAATTACATTTCAAATCTAGCCATGTATTAAATTAATTATTATTACTTCATACAGCCTATAGGAAATAATAAATTGTAGTATGGCAATTTAGTTAGGATTGAACTTTCTAACATATCCTTAAATATAGTTTTACCTTATTTTTCTTATTACAATTAGTCAAAATTAAAGTATTTTTAAAACCCTTTTTATTATTATAGAGGCATTTTTAAAAAATCCTTGACAGTATCATAAAAGAAAATGTTGGTTTTTAGATCAGTTTGGAGCTGTAGGTATTGCGATACAAAAATATTAAGGCCAAAATCAATGTCAATGTATTTTGCACAATTAAAAAATAAAAGCTTATTCATTAACATGATAAATTCATAATATTTGACTTGGCATTTTTAAAATAAAGACTTCACTATTAATTTAATTAATTATACATGCTTAAGCGTTAAGCATAAAGGTAGAAGGAATATACAGAGTTGTTCACCACATATTACATGGAGTATTGTAGCTAAACAATTAGATTTTTACAAATTGTAAACTTGGGTTCGTTGAAGGACTATTAGAGCAACAATTTAAAAATACTTTTACAAGATACAGAGTGTCCCAAATAAGCACAAAATATAATAGTTGTATTTTTTTAAATGGGACACCCTATATATTATTCCATTTTTTGATTCTACGATTGAAATAAAGGTAAATTTGATTAAGGTTTATCACACTTAAACCTTACCGTTTATGAAATATTTTCAATTTTGTGAAATTGCAGTAAAAAATTTAAGCTTTTATTTCTCCATGGGTATTAAAGGTTTTAATACTAAATATATACTGAAGATTATTTATTGATCAGATATTGTGTTGTAATAATAAAAATTATACTATCTTATACAGAGTGTCTAGAAATTTATATTAAATAATTACTAGCTTTAAACGGCAATAACTTGTTTAATTTAAATGAAACACCCTGTATATTTTACGCAAATCAGATGCACAATTTAATTGTTTATCAAATTGTATTATAGCATATTTTACCTATATCTTCAAGTTTTCGTAGAAACTGCATTTTATTATAATTTAGACCTCATTTATCACTCACTATACCCATGGAATATTGACATTTTAGATTATTTTAAAGAAACATATGTACAAAATGTACAGGTGGTAAAAATAATAATATTGCAAGCCCATTTGTTTACAAAACGAAAACTATTTAAATCTTTGTAAAAGAATATACCAATTATTACTAATTATTAATATACCACCATTATTTCCTCCCAAAAATTAGTTAATTACATACTTAATTGTTTTAATTAATAAATTATTCTAAATAAATGTGGATTTGACTCAGAAATCAATACAATAATAAGTTATGAAAATGAACGTCTCTCTTGTTATAAATAAGCATTCGTCAAAAAATGAAATAAAATTTATAAAGTGTTACTTTTTACCACACTGTCTAATACACATACAAAATTCAGTTTTTCAGTATTTGGAGCAATTATTATTAATCAACGTAAACAGTCAATTAATGTAGTTTGAATACTGGGCTCATATATTGAGTTTTTTTATCTTTTAATGAAATAAGCGAACTATATCGACAATATTAGTATCTGTGTTTTTTGAAAATTTGTTACATCTTTAAAAATAATCTAAAATGTCAATATTCCATGGGTATAGTGATAAATAAGGTCTAAATTATTAGAAAATTCATTTTTTTCGAAAACTTGAAGAGATAGGTAAAAATGGTATAATACAATTTGATAGACCATTAAATTGTGCGTCTGATTCTCGTAAAATATACAGGGTGTTCCATTTAAATTAAAGAAGTTAAAGCCGTTTAAAGCTAGTAATTATTTAATATAAATTTTTAGACACTCCGTATAAGGTAGAATTTTGTTTATTATTGCAACACAATATCTGATCAATAAATAAACTTCAGTAAATATTTAGTATTAAAAATTTCGATACCCTTGGAGAAATGAAGTCTTAAAATTTTTACAGCAATTTCATAAAACTGAAAATATTTCAAAAATGGTAAGGATTAAGCGTGATAAACCTTAATAAAATTTACCTTTATTTCAATAGTAGAATCTAAAAATTAAATAATATACAGGGTATTCTATTTAAAAAAAAAATACAACTATAATATTTTTTACTTATTTGAAACACTGTGTATCTTGTAAAATTATTTTAGATTGTAGCCCTAATAGTCCTTCAACGAACCCAAAACTAACAATTTGTAAAAATCTAACCGTTTAGCTACAATATTCCGTGTCGTATATGGTGAACAACCCTGTATAGAAATCTATATCTGTTTTTTGTTATTAGATATATGGTGGTACTGGATCTCCTTTTGGAACAAGATGCAGCAACCAGTTATATGTATGTAATGTAAACGATGAAGCCAGCCCTATGGTTGAGGTACAAGCTACAGGGCAATTGCCATTGCCCCAATACGGGCAAGCCATTGTGTATCATAATGATTATTTGTATGCCATAGGTGGGACAACTGGTTTTGACTATACATGTGATATACATAGGTAAGTTTGTTCATTTAACTTCAAAAATTGCAAAAGTATTTTAAAGATATTTCTATATTAGATTATATGTAAGAAGGTTATAAGTAAATACAGATTACCTTATCTTTATAAATGATCTTTTGATAATTAACAAATATATTTAAGAAGAAAAAATATTTAATCAAATATTAGTAGAGCAGTGTCATTTTTATTACTAGTTAATATATTAAGGCTTTTTTAATTACCCAGTTAAAAATAATATAAGGAATACTTCTATTTTACTTTAATTTTCAATTAAGTTTCTATTTTCTGATTAATATTCTGTTTTGTATCCCCCCCCCCCTTGTTTAATAAAATTATTATACATTTCTTTTATTGATTATGTGTATTTATAAATGTATTTTATATTACATTTTTATGAATATTTTCTACAATTTATTATAATTGGTATATTTTTTATTAGCATTTTAAATGAAACCCTCCCTGTTGACTAATTACCTATCTTTTAATATTATTATTAAATTCACCTAGACATTTACAGCAGCTCCCATAATGAGTATATTATAGTTTTTATTTTTCTTTTTTTGAATTTATAAATAAAAAATATATACTAATATAAGGTTTGAGAATATTTTACTAATAATTTCTTAAATTGCTTTAAGTAGAAGATCCTAAAATCAGTTAACCATAAGTTATAGTCTGTATGTATTAATCAAATATGATTCTATGCATATTTAATTAAAATTAATTCTGAATGTAAAAAAATAAAAATTGTTTTTGGCATCTTGACTACGGATGTATTTTTTAAATGTTTATTTACATATTTAATAAATATTAGATCAGTTGACGATTTTTTTTTCTTCAAGGTACTGTGGTTTTCTTTATAAAAAATAATCCGGTTTTAAGTAGATTATTGTTTAAAAAGAACGATTTTATCCATAGCTGTCAAGAAATCATGGTAATTTTGTAGTTTCCATGGTACTTTTTTTTGTTATAGTAGCTTTGGGTCTTAAATTATTCTGTATTTTAAAATGTTCCAATTTTTTAGGATTGATTTTTCTTATATTAATTAATCCATGTTAAATCCTATTTAACTTTTCAATATACCGCTCTTTTTCTGTAAAATAAATTCTATCGATATTTAAAGATCTTAAAACTTTTTCTTTTTATTCAATTAATGTTTGGCACTGTTTTTTTTCATGTCAACTTTATTTGTATGTGTATATAGAGGTAGGGTTAGAGGTAAGGAGAATCATCTCTTATGGAACTTTGAAAAAGTGGTCACCTAAAAAGAGAAAATAAGTATTCACTAAATGACAACAGTGGTGCTAATAAGGAATCAGGGATCAAACTGAACTTAGCGGATATAAATCAGGTAAAGTTAGTAAAAAAAAAGAGTGGCAACACACACGCCTTCAGAAATCACATATTTATCTATATCTTTTTAATTATTTCCTGTTTTAAATATTTTTGACGTTTCTGTTGATTTTGTATTGTTTCTGTCAAATGTAGAACTGTTGCTACATCAGCGCTATCTTAATTGTTCCCTCTTTAATGACCATTTTTCAATACACGGTGATAATTCTCCGTACCTCTGCCCCTCCATAGTTTTAACGAATCGTTTCCATCATGATAATAAAGTCTCTCCGACGAGAGGATACATGATGGTTTTTTTATTTTTTCAGATAAAAAATGAGATTTGCTATGTTAGTATATGACATAAATTAGGATTGATTGACGTATTCAATTGTTTTCTGTCACTTCCTGTTTCACCGGAAATAAGAAAAATATCATATGTCAACTTTTGACATTTGTGCGTTAAAAACACTAATCTTGTGTCAAGGAGCCTTGGAAAAATAGATTTGATTGTCTAATATTATTCGTGTCATGTCCTGGCCGGTTAAACGATGCCCAAATCGTATAGGTATCTCAATTTTTTCAAATGGAACGAGGGTGACTCATTAGCATATTTGTTAAAAGCATTTTTTACGAATAATTTGGTACCATACACTTGGTATTTCGAGTCAAATTGTCGTTATGCATCGCATGTTGTAATTTCAAATAAACCATATTCGAAAATGTCAAAAGTTGACATATGATATGTCATCAATCCTAATTTATGTCATATATTAATATACCAAATCTCGATTTTTTATCTGAAAAAATAAAAAAGTTATAAGGGAGGGCCACTTTTGAGACGCACCCGGTATTGTATTTTCTGCCATTTTCTGGACGTCCGTCGCCGTCGTCTGTCGATATTTTCCCTGACTCGTTGAACAGACTATAGTAAATGTAATTTTTAGGAATCAATACAAAATTATACTTCAGTAATCTATAGTAATATATAAAATCCTTAAGTGACTGACATACTGATTAATCACGATCCTGCTCAAACCACTCAACGTAAGAAGCTCAGTTTTGCCATACAGGTTGATTCTAGGGTGTAGAGGTTCGATAAGAAGGGATTTTTCGAAATTCCAGTTCCAAGGGGGTGAAACCACCCCGCAAATATTACAATATTTTTTATTTAAAAAACGGTCAAGTTTCCGAAAAGACGCTTAAACACGTATATTTTATTTTGTTTTTTTACATATTTTAAGATTTTTTAAAAATGTCTACAGGGTGTTTCGAAAAATCTGGTCATTGATTAATCACGATCCTGCTTAAAGCGCTTGACGTAAAAAGCTGATTTTTGGAAAACAGATTGACTTTAGGGTGTAGAGGTTCGATAAGAAGGGATTTTTCGAAACTCGAATTCTAAGGGGGTGAAACTATCACTCAAATATTAAAATATTTTTTATTTAAAATCCGGTAAGTTTTTCGGAAAAACTCTTAAACACGTATATTTTATTTTGTTGTTTTACATATTTTAAGATTTTTTATAAATTTAAACAGGGTGTTTCATAAAATATGACCATTGAGTAATCACGATTCTGCTTCAACTGCTTAACGTTTAAAGCTGATTTTTGGCAAACGGATTGACTGTGGGGTGTAGAGGTTCGATAAGGAGGTGTTTCTCGAATCTCAAATTCCAAGAGGGTGAAAACGCTCCTCAAATATTACAATATTTGTTATTTAAAAAACGGTTAGTCTTTCGGGAAAACTCTTCATACAGGGTGTTCTAAAAAGTTGGGTAATTGATTAACCACGATTCTGCTTCAACTGCTTGACGTCAAAAGCTTATTTTTGGCAAACTGATTTTTCGAAAGTCAAATTCCAACGAGATGAAACTACCCCTAAAATATTACCAAGTTATATAATAATATCGCCATATTGTTTTTTCTCATGCTGACATAAATATGAGAAAATTTTTCTGCTTTGCTTTATCATCACCATTACAAATGATTAATTCGACGCGAACGAAGTCGCTGATACACGCTAGTAAGTTATATTTCTATCGCACTTTGACTTCACTCAGATTATCTTTCCAGACTTCTAAATTCTGAAATTAATACACCATTTAATGTATATTATTGGAAAAAAAGTATTAAAATAGAAGTAAGACTGTAAAATGTCAATTAAAAGGTATTATTTAATATCATTTTTTTTATTAAATCATATTCTACTTATTTCCGTTGTATAATCTCTCTAAACATTGACGATTATACCGATTGTTTTCACGTGAGAGTATAACTGGACGGAATATATAATCAATCGGTCTTACGCAAATGAACATATGGTTGATATCAGTCATGCACCAGCCACTTCAATTGTATTACATAGTAATCAGACAAAGGCGTATTTTTAATCTAATTTTACACTGGCTTTTGCGATATAGTGTACGACTTAAGTAGGAAAAAAACGTCATTAAGGAAATATATTTCAAGTAATGTAGCTTTTGTAAGTCTTGCAGATGTGGGATATTACTTCATAGTATAGGTATATTCATATATTTTTTTCTCAGATGGTCACTTACAGGATGGTCCGGACTGTATTCCGGAAAAATATTCGGCAGCATATTCTGCAGATAAAAATAAGTAAAAAACTTCGTATAAATGTACGTCCTAAAATGCTTAGTTTCGGAGATACAGGGTATAGAAGTTTCATTTTTATTTCGATTTTTTCCAAATAATTTCTGAAGCAACGTCAATATTTAGATGAGTTTTTGTGCATGAGAAATTTGATTCTGATGTCAGTATGACTCCTTAATACGATATTAATTTTATTGGTTGAATTTAAAGACTTGGATTGGTTAGAAAATTAGTAAGTTTTTAAATTTAGTATTGTAGTTTTTAAATTTAGTATTGTAATAACTCTGGTAGTTTAAAAAAAACAAATATTTAATACTTTACTATCAGAATATAAACGAAAATAAAATAAAAAAGTCTTTGCCCTGACCCGGATTCGAACTCTGAATCATCGGTTCGTGGTCGGAAACTCTACGCACTGCGCTATGGAGATATGTCTGATTTGTATTCAATACTAGAATTTAAAGGACTAATAAAAATATAGGATCTTCTTTCAATACGCAGTAGGGAACGCTTACAGGCAGCCAGACGGGCAGCATGCTGTTCTAGAGAGTATACTAAAAGATATATCAAAGAGCTAGACGTCTTAAAGTACTTGTTTTTCCGACGTTGCTAGCTCTGGTACTATTATAGTCTAAGAGCTAGCAACGTTTTTGGGAGAGAATTTTAAGAGAGCTGTTTTTTTAATATAACTTTTGTTATGTTCTCTGGAACAGCGTGCGAGTCGTCTGGCTGCCGATAGACGTTGCGTTCACTACTGCGCATCATATCTGTATTCAACATCTGTCCACTACTGCGCATCTCAAATCGCCCTGTGTTCCAGGAATTAAGGAGACTAGGACAAACCTATGTGTAGCATATTTAGTTTCATAAAAAAGTAGCAAAGTAGTGTGAAAATCGCATCTTTGTATGTCTACTCATAAACGAGAAATCCCATAAAACACACGAAAATGGGATACCCTGTACAGATGTGATGCGCAGTAGTGAACCGTAGTACTCTACCGACAGCCAGACGGCCCGCACTTTGGCTAGGAGAGCTTAGCAAAAGATATATTAAAGAACAAGCTTTCTTAAAATTCGACGTTGTTAGCTCTTGTAGTATTATATTTTTATTAGAGTTAGATTAAATTTGTCAAAAAAGTGTCAAAACGTCCGTTATCGTACGATCTTTCTGCGTCGACGGGCTGGAGCAGGCTGGAGTAAAAAATTTACGGATGAAACGTGGCATCTAAACGTTATGACCAATCAGAGCGCCGTTGGACCATTATCGTATCAACGGATAACAGAGGCATGAAAATCAAGCTCAATCCGCATTTTTTTTATTTAAAGTTACGACAAAAAATGGTTACTTTTTGAGCAAAAAAACAAAAATGCAAAAATCGTATGTCTAGATAGTTCACCGGACCCCGATTTACATTGGAAATCTAGCTATTATAATGTGTGAAATTTATTAGACAATAAAATTTAAATTTCATTGTATGAACCAGTGTGATATTTATGCTTATTACGTGATAGAAAAAAATAATATAAACATAACACTTCATACAATAATTGATGTAAGAAACCGTGTATTTTATTAACTGATAAATTTCACACACCTTCTATATACACAGATGTCATAACAGTAACATTACTTGACAATATAAAGGACGCAAGTTATTTTCAAATTAAGAAAATACAGAACAAATGAAAACTACAATTAAATTATTTTCAGACAATTGCTTTTTTATGGAATCTGCTATTGTGTTATTTGCTAGTAATGAAATCGTTGAAGAATGCTGATTTTAATGACTTTAAATTTATTTTATTTTAGTATTTCATATTATTTATTTTGTAATAGACCTTTTTTTATTAGTAAAAAGCAGTAAAAACTTTAAATTAACATATTTGTTAATTTTTACGCTAATAAACCATTGTAGTAACAAAGTAATAAAAAAATACGACATTTAATGTAAAACACATTTGTTTTAATATAAAAATGAAGTATTGTAAAAGAACAATTTGTATAAGTTATCGGTGTCAATTTCTAACATATGTACATACATACATATTTATTGGCCAAAAAATTAGTTATTTCTTAAAGTTAGTTATTTAGGTTGTAACTATTTAAAATGTCACTCTTATGAACAAATATCTAATTTATTAAGAAGGTTAGTCTCGGTGTTAGTATTATATTTGGTCCTACTTTTAACTGACTTATTTTTTATTTTTGAGCTGTAATATTCTTATTCAAAAAATAAATTACAGAGTTTTAGTTTTAGTTACGTTTAATTTTTACTAAAAATGTCGTATATGTCAAATGTCACAGGTTTTATACATATGTATGTACTATACAGTATTGTATTGTATTTTTGTAGCACCAATTCGAGGTATTGGTATCTCGGAAACCGTAACAGATACGAAGATGGTTGTAGAATGTAGAATGTTTAGGAGGGGAGTTAGTCACCGCGACCTTAAAGATCTATTGTGTGTTCCCCTTTCTTGAGTTATAACGAGCTATAACTCATCATACAGTCTCAAGGCTTTAACAAAAGCCAGTATCTGAGACGGCTCCACAGAGGCCAGCTCTCCATCCTTGACATCAGCCGTACCAAAGTTCATGGCACGAATGGTCGTCGTCTCGGCGCACTCATGATGAGGTGTTCTGGTGTTTCCCCATATTCCCCACAGAATCTGCATTCGCCGTTGTTTCTCAGTTTCAGCCTACTGAGGTGTTCGTTGAGGAGACAGTGTCCTGTTAGAAACCCCGTGACAATCCGAAGATTGTTTTTACTTAAATCAAGGAAAACCTTCGATTTTTCTCGGTCGTAGGTTCTGAGGAACTTTTTCGAGTGTCTTAGACCGTTGGAGGACACCCATTCCAAGTTGCGGTTGGAGTCTTCCAGATTCTTCAGTTCCGCTTTTAGTTGGTTTCCGCTTGGAAAAAACAGAACGGTTCTGGTCCAGTTAGTGGAGTGTTCGCTCCTTTCCTAGCTAGATCATCTGCATTACGAAGATGGTTAAATTGGGGCAAAGTTCCGCCTTGGGATGTTCACCAAGATGCTATCAAAAAAGTTTCAAAAATTTCAAGGGATGATTTTTTTAACAAAAAAAAAACGGATTTTTTGGAAAATCAATTTTATTTTTTCCTGTCGTTACTTTTTAGAAAATCAAAAAACTAATTGCACATTCTCATAGCCACTTTATTAGGGCTTTTTGATAGTATTTTTAGATTTTCATATTTGCTAATAATTAGTGAGATACACAGGCCAACTTAATTTTTTTAAATACGGAATAGGTTTTGAAAGAACTCGGTCTCCCGAGTACAATGATATACCACACTTTCTACTTTTTTTACCTTAACAACAACAAAACTATTTAATTATTATTTTAAATATTTTCAAGTCCGACTCTGTTTTTTAAAATTATTTAATCTGATTATATTCATCGCGACAATATTGATCAGCGCTAATTAACATTGAGTTAGGAAAATCAAGCTAATTGAATGATTCAAATAATATTCAGTTAAGTATTATTTTGTTCCAGGTTAAATTTAAAAACATTGACTTGGGAAATAGTGTACATATGTAACGGCACCGGCGACTACGAACCTCCCGGCAGGTACCGGCACGAGGTTGGTTTCGACGGTCGAAAGATCTACATTTTGGCCGGCGGTACCGCCGAGGACGTGTACGACTTCGAGCGCATACCGACCTTCGACATCGACAAGAAGGAATGGGCCAGTCAGAAGACGATACCAGCCGGCGTTCATGGTAGGTTATAGTGATGTTATTTTAACATATACAGAGTATTTATTTATCTGCACGTGGCTACATCTCAAAAAACAAAAATACAAACTATAGTAGGTATAAAAAGACAAAATGTACAAGAAAGGAATGTATACAAGGTGGTCCGAACAGTATTCCGGAAACTTCGGCGGCATATTCTGCAGATTAAAATAAGTAAAAAAGTTGGTATAAATGTATGTCCTAAAATGCTTAGTTTAGTAGATACAGAAGTTTCATTTTTATTTCGATTTTTTCCAAATAATTTCTGAAGTAACGTCAATTTTTAGATGAAAATTGGTATCTGGGAGCACAGAATATCTAGCTACGCAACAGAAAAATACTCGAAATGAAAGAGCTAAAATTGCACAAATAGAATACTAGATGGCGCGACAATATCATAATCAGAATATAATTAGAAATTTTGAACTTTCGGTTTTGGATCGACGGCTCGTCGACGGCCTTATAGCTCGGCTAAATATGCACAGTTGCCAGATTCAAAAAGACTTGAATTGGCATCCCATTTTTTATTGTGTATAATGCAGTATGTGTTTCTTTCTATTCTTCTTTTCTTGTCAGATAAACTTATATTAATTATTCCTTTGGCTATTCAAATAGTTTTAAGTATATTATTACATAACATATATATTTTTAATATACACTACCTTATAATGTTAACTAAGAAAATACCTTTAATTACCTTTAAAATTAATAATATACAGGGCGATTGATAGTGATATTTATTAATGCTGGAACGTTAGTAATGAAATATAGGTTTAATAATAATGGAAATAATTTATTAAAATGCAGTACAAAAAATGTTAACTGACTAAAAAATACTATAATAACAAATTTCTTCCGTTTGCCCCGTTATTTATATAGACCTAGGTAGATTTTAAAAAGTGACACAGGTACAATTAATAATATATTAGTTCGGCATAAAAGTTGCTGTCACGACATCGAACAATAAATTAAAATTCGTAAAATAAATTAAAATTATTAATTAAACAAATCTTTATAAAGAAACGCAAGTATACCAAATTTGGGCCCAATCGAACTCCAGGAAATGATATCATAATAGTGTACTATATTATGGTACCACTCGATATACTTTAAGGTACCATAATATTGCAATGTCACCGAAGATCCGTAGTATACCAAATTTAAGAACAATCGAACGCCATGAAATGGTATCGTAATATGGTACTATATTAAGGTACCACTTTATATACATCATAGTTCAGTCATATTACAATGTATCCGAAGATACGTAGTATACCAAGTTTGAGCCCAATCGAATGCCAGGAAATGGTATCGTAATATGGTACTATATTAAGGTACCACTTTATATGCATCATAGTACCATCATATTACAATGTCACCGAAAATACGTAGTATCCCAAGTTTAAGCACAATCGAACGCCATGTACGTAATATAGTACTATATTATGGTACCAGTTGATATGCTTCATGGTACCATAATAATGCAATGTCATCAAAAATACGCAAGTATATGAGCTCAATCGAACGCCAGGAAATGGTATTGAAATATGGTAATATATTAAGGTACCACTTTATATGCATCATAGTACCATCATATTACAATGTAACCGAAGATACGTAGTATAACAAGTTTAAGTCCAATCGAACGCCAGGAAATGGTATCGTAATAGTAGAACAATACTTATTATATTGTCGCCGAATTACAATGAAAATTCAGGATTCAGTTATACAATCAAACGTCAGGAAGTGATTGTAATTTAGCTCATAAGATTTAATTCCAACTAACATGGCAAACTGAAAAAAACAGCTCTGATCTATTTTAATATGTTTAAATGATGTAGCAAATTTGAAGGTAGGCTTTATCAGGAAGTATTACGATATGAATTATACAATGGCAACACTGCACAACATTCTTTTAAATTTTGTTTGTAGAAAACTGTTTTCTTTTAAATTTATTGCCCTCTATTATGTAGTAGCGAAACTACCACATCAAAATATCTGATTTGGAGACAGACTTTTAAAGCCTGTCTCCTTTTACTACCTACAATTTTATACATGTAACGAGGCTTCTGTTGCGTAGCTAGATATTCTGTGGTTATAGTGATGTTATTTTAACATATACAGAGTATTTATTTATCTACACGTGGCTACGTATCAAAAAACAAAAATACAAACTATAGTAGGTATAAAAAGACAAAATGTACAAGAAAGGAATGAATACAAGGTGGTCCGAACAGTATTCCGGAAACTTCGGCAGCATATTCTGCAGATTAAAATAAGTAAAAGAGTTGGTATAAATGTATGTCCTAAAATGCTTAGTTTCGGAGATACAGGGTGTAGAAGTTTCATTTTTATTTCGATTTTTTCCAAATAATTTCTGAAGTAACGTCAATTTTTAGATGAAAATTGGTATCTGGGAGTCTTTTGACATGAGAAATTTTATTTTGATGTCAATATAACTATTGGGGGCGCCACCTACATGTGTTTTAACTGTTTTTAAGAGTAATAACTTTTTTTCCGTACCTGTATAAAACTACTGGGTGAAAAAATGTACATTTTTGTGATTTTTTACGTCAAAAAATCTCTTGGTAAAAGTGGCTACGAGCAACCGTTCTCGAGATATTTAGAATGGAAATAGTCAATACATGTCATCATTGACAAAAATAAACATGTTGTGTAGATAGTTATTTGACTGAAATAGTAAATTTGGGAACTTTTTATTTTTTTAAATTAATCATAAATTTTTCTTTGAAAAAATGATGATAAAAAAGTTTCTGTTGAACTTTTGACATAAAAACAAAAACATTTCAAATTTATGACTTCAGTTTAATAACTATTTAGTTAACATGTTTAATTTATGACAATGACGACAGTTATTGATAAATTCTATTCCAATTATCTCGAGAACCATTACTCGTAGCGATTTTTACCAAGAGATCTTTTTTACGTAAAAAACGTCGTAAATGTATATTTTTTTACCTGGTAGTTTTATACAGGTACGGACGAAAAGTTATTATTCTTCAAACCAGTTAAATAATATGTAGGTGTCGCCCTCTACAAGTAGGAGTCATATTGACATCAAAATCAAATTTTTCATGTCAAAAAACTCCCAGACACCATTTTTCATCCAAATATTGACGTTACTTTAGAAATTATTTGGAAAAAATGAAAATAAAAATGAAACTTCTACACCCTGTATCTCCGAAACTAAGCATTTTAGGATATACATTTATACGAACTTTTTTACTTATTTTTATCTGCAGAATATGCTGCCGAAGTTTCCGGAATACAGTTCGGACCACCCTGTATTACGGTTAAAGTCCGATGTCCGGTTAATGTCGACATTAACAGGTTAATGTTTTGGTTAGGTTATGTTTTTGGTTGCTTTCTTTGAATAAGAAGACTAAGGAAATCTTAGGTACACCGCGATGGGCCTCAAATATGGCCGACTTAAATTCCGGTTTATCAGTGTCGTTCTAATTTTATTTAAAAAATGTAAAACTATGATGTAGGGTAGACGTGGGGTAGACTCAATAATTTGTTGTTTTATTTTACGTTGTGAATAAATGTTGGTAGTTATTAAAATTGTTATAAAATATATATAATTCTAATAAAAATAGATAAGTTATAATAAGTATTTATTAACACAAACATCCGATACGCTACTGAAGCAGGTAAGTCAAATTAACGTATCTAAATTCTTTGACATCTAATCTTTTAACAAGTAATAAATAAAAGCTAAAGTTAATTTAAGTGAATTTCATAAATGATCGGTTTATTACACGTATGTATATTATATAGTCACTTACTAGCGAAAAGTTGTTCCATTATTTCACTCAATTTTTGCCGAGATCTACCGCACGCTACACAACCAACTATTTTAGAGTCTTTTTCGATAAATCGCGATAGTGTCACTGTTAATTTAAGTTCTGCCACAATTTCCATCTAGATTTACTACCTTTATACAACTATCAGTATAGAATAAATAATAAATAACATAAAATAAGCTCCATAAAGACTGACAAATCCACAAAATTTCAAATCAAATTCAAATGTGTCAAATGAATCGTCAAACAGAACTGTCAAGGATCCCCACCCTAGAGAGCTTTTATGGTGCCTTTTCCGCCCACCATGCATGAATACATGGATAGCATTATGCTCCTTCCTTAGTCTTCTTATTCAAAGGTTGCTTTGTTGTGTGTTATTATCGAGATTAACCGGGTAATGTCGATTCGCTGTAAAATTTTATGAAAAGAAAGTCATGACAATGGTATGTTAATGAGAAATAAGCATACTATTACAAAATCGAGATATGTTTTCAAAAATGTGTATTGTTTTCAAAAATTAGCAAAACTAACAAAAAAAATATGGTATATACATATTTAAATTTTTTGTTACCATATGCACCCCCCTAATCTTTAAAAGCTAGAATAAAATTTTTGAAACATTAAATTGATGTTGGTTTAGAGTTCATCATTACATTCGTTTTATATTTATAAATCATAAATTTATACAGCACTTTTTCATAATATTGAAGAGCGTAAATATTACTTAATAGTTTCATTAAAATCATAAATATTAGCGGCAATTTGTTTAAATTAGCCGTCGGCATTATAGAAAGTAATGTACAAGGTAATCCTTTCTATAGAATTACCGGATTCTAAAGTTTTTAACAATAAATGATAATATCAATATATTTATTTGCAAAAATCATCAAAGCATGAAGCAATAATTTTACACAAAATTTAAAAATCAGTATGTATATCTATATATATTTTCTCATTTTTTTTCTATAGTAACAATTTAAATTAAGTCGTTAACTGTTAATAATAATTTTATAATTTCACCTTTTAAATATTAAATTACTTATTGCTCAATTAAAAAAAATATTTTGTAACTATATTTTAATACATAATTATTTTTTAATATATTAATTTTTTTAATAGCACTTTGAAAATTAAAAGTTAGATATTTATTTTGTATAATATGGGAATTTATTATTAAAATTAACATAAGAAGATGTTTTACAGATTTGAATTGTTCCATATTTATAGTTAGCTGAACCATATTTTCATACATTAAAATTCATAAATTATTTATTCATAAACATTAAAATCATACGATTCTAGAGAAGTGTTAGAGAAATAGCCAAGGTATTGGCAGTAAATTGACATAGTATTCACAGTAAAATCAAACGGGGAAAGTGCAAAAAAGAATAAATAAGAAGTTTGTAATAAAATCTAAATTAATGAAAGAAATCTAAGATGTTTTGACTGATATAAATTACAGGAATATCAACATAGTAATAATGTAAATATAGACCATACCAAATAAACTTTTAGTAGCGTGATTAAGCTTGACCGGCATAGCTTGCCCACTTTTACATATTTTCTTTTAATCAAAATATTTTAGGGAAAAAAAATTAATTATAAATATATAAACAGTTACCATTTATAGATTTATATCAACAAAACTCACCTCCTTAACAGCACTTAAGGGACATAAAGGGCTATTACTACCACTTTCCCATTGAAAATATTCTAATAAGGTTGTGGTGAGCTTTTTGCAACGGCTATTAAGCTATCTTGTATACTTCGCACTAAAAGAAGTTCTAAAAAGAACCATGTTCGGCTGCAAGGTCTGCTAGTAAAAAATTTTAAGCTTAAAGTATCACAATACAATTCAATTTAAACCAAAAAGTCGTAATACAAAACTAAAGTGTCAAAAGAATGACAATATCAGGAAATAAATACCACCTAAATCCTCAACGGGAAATTTAAATTCCAGTTGGTAAGCCCGGCGCCGAATATGTCCATGGTTGGCAACAATAAATTTAAAAATCGCGCCCTCGATTACATAACTAAAAGTTTATTCGGTATCGGTTATATATAATGTTTAAGTTTTAGTATTATTTTATCTATTCAAAAATATATTATAATTGGATAATTATGTTACAAGTGGCAACGCTGGTAATTTATCCTATTCCGAGTAACTAATCTCTTGATTTTTGACATTTCAGGCGTCCCTATGGGACGTAGATGTCACGGAGCAGCTCAAATCGACAACGGCAACGGCGTGGAAGTGTTCGTAACCGGCGGCCAGGACGGCGAGAACATCTTTAACGATCTCTGGCGTCTGAACCTCAAAACGCTTCAGTGGACCTACTTCAAAACCTGCATCCTACCCCGGCCTATGTGTTTCCACGCAGTCTCGATCACTCCACAAGGTCGTCTCTACGTTTTCGGCGGCATCTACAACGTCAACGACCAAGTAAAGAGAAGTAACAAGGTCTACTCTGCCTGGGTGTGTATTCCGAAACTCAGCGAACTGTGCTGGGAGGCTGTGTTGCAATATAGTCCGCATATTTTCAAATATTCCAGTGATGACCTAATTAATATGGGACTCCCGCGGCATTTCGTGCAACGGCTGGGAGAGAAAAAACTACAAAAATTTTAAGCTTTAAATTAAATGAAATTATACAACTTAGTATAGGTACCGCGAGTGTGGCTATTTGAAGGCGATTTTTTCTCGACTGCATCAATATTATTTAGATGATTGTTTTTACAATTGTACTGGAGTGAATTTTGTTTTAAATTATTGAAGGCTGTACATAATCCAATTTGGAAAATGTCGATTTATTATTGAGCATTTACATGTTTTTTTTCAATATAATATCCAAATTTAAAACTGTTTTTCAATTATTTCAAGCAAGCTCCTAAAACACTAAACATTAAATATTCTTTGTTATCTAATGTCTGATACATACTGAAGTATTTTTGATGACGGTCTGCCTCTACATGATCAGCGGCATCTACAGAGTCAACGACCAAGTGAAGAGAAATAACAAGGTCTATCCTGCCTGGGTGTGTATTCCGAAACTCAGCGAATTGTGCTGTGAGGCTGTGTTGCAACATAGTCCGCGTATTTTCAAATATTCCAGTGATGACCTAATTAATATGGAACTCCCGCGCCATTTCGTGCAACGGCTGGGAGGGAAAAAACTACAAAAACTTTTGGCTTTAAACTAATTGAAATTGAAGCTACTTTTGGTACCGGGATTTGGCGCACCAGTGCGACTGGCGACAGCTACTGGATAGTTGCGCCAGCTCAGTAGAGATATCCAGTATCAGATCCACTGGCTACTGGATCTTTCTACATGTATCCAGTCTCTGGATCCCTCTACACCTATCCATTAGCTGGCGCCAGCTCCCCACTACTTACCAGTGGCGCCATTCTCACCTGAAGGCCAGCTCTCCACTGTCCGCCAGTAGGTAGTACCAGTGGCGCCAGCTGCTGGATCTCACATATGGATACACGTATTCAGTAGCTGGCGCCGGTTCTCCACTGTCTGCCAGTGATGCCAGTGGTGTCAGCTACACGTATCCAGTAGGATCTCCGCGCCAGCTACTGGATCTCTCTACACGTATCCAGTAGCTGGCGCCAGCTTTCCACTGTCTCCCAGTGATATCAGTGGTACCAGCTACTGCATCTCTACATCACGTATCCATTAGCTACTGGATCTCTCTAAACCACGTATCCAGTAACTGGCGCCAGCTCTCCACTGTCTACCAGTGAAACCATTGGTGCTAGCTACTGGATCCAGTAGCTGCTGCCAGTCTCATTGGTACGCCAGCTCTCCACTGTCTACCAGTGAAACCAGTGGTGCCAGCTACTGGATATAGTAGCTGGTGCCAGTCTCACTGGTACGCCAGCTCTCCGCTGTCTACCAATGATACCAGTGACGCCAGCTACTGGATCTCTCTACACGTATCCAGTAGCTGGCGCCAAATAGATGCTTTACATAAACATTTTCTACCACAACAATATTTTTTTTTATAGTTTATTGAAGGAAAGAAGATATGACAGTGACATTTGTCTGTTATTTTAAGGTGAATTGTATTTTCTGTAATTTTTAGATGCCATTTGTTGAACCGTTTTGTTCGACAGTTGTTTGACAGTTTACCCTGTCAAAGGTTTGTTGTTCAGTTATGTGGTACATTAAAGATATAATAATTTACTAAATTAAAAAAAATGCAATAATTACTGTAATAAATTTATTGAAGAATTAAATGATATTCCATTCTATAACAATCGTATACTTATATCCGGAGTATTTGCTTAAAAATAAATATCTTTAATTTTGATTAAACAACAAATATTTTTTTGGTAAATATAGATATATCAGATAGTAACTACAATAGGACTTCTTAAATATATAAAAATTATATAACACAATCATAAATTGTAAAATACTTGGACTTCATTTTAGATTTTTAACAACAAAATGGATTGAACCCGCTGGTTTTCTTTAAAGCTCTTAGTTCCAGCCATTGTTCTTGATTAGGTACGTACATTTCGGCAGGCATTTGCTGAGTATCTGTTTCCTCATCTGATTCTTTCTCTTTTGCTAAAAGAAGAAACAGTTTATGAATTAGGTTTATACTCTTTTTTATATGCGGGGTATTTTCTAAGTAAGGTGTTTTCCCAGATCAATTTTTAAAAAGTATGCAGTGGTGGTTAGGTTTGGTTAGGTTTCGACCTGGCCGTCGCCGTCGGCTGGTCGGATATATCGCGTACATAGGTGCGGCAGATCCAGGGTCGGAATAGCTCATTGGAACTAGTTCGTTCACAAACTACACACCTCTACTTTATGGGAGCTCACATTGCCGTGATGAAGAATGATACGACCGTTTTTTGTTCTTTTTTCTTATTTCATCGAAGATCATTGGCAAACAAATTGTTGTATACCATTCGGCATTAACAGTTGCTCGATCCTCTAATGGAATGGTTGTTTCGTGTCCAGTACAACCGAAGAAACAAGCGATTGTAAAAACTTAAAAGGCAACCTATGTACTATAGATTTTAAAGGTGACAACACGCGTGGAATTGACATATTGCGCATATTCAGTATATATCGTTGAAAGTTTTGTTTTGAAAGTAATAAATAGGTTTACAAGAAGAGTTATTATATTTGTGAGTTCACGTACTAATGTGCAGTTTTATTTCTTTATACCGGGTGCGTCTCAAAAGTGGCCCACCCCTATAACTTTTTTATTTTTTCAGATAAAAAACGAGATTTGGTATGTTAGTATATGACATAAATTAGGATTGATCGGCGTATTCAATTGTTTTTGGTCACTTTCTTTTGCACCGGAAATAACTACAACTTTTGCTTTTTGAATGGCACCCTCGATATTTTTTTTTACTTTATTCGATAGAAAATAACACTCTGAATAGAATGACATATCATATGCCAACTTTTGACATTTGCGCATATGGTTTATTTGAAATTTTAACATACGGTTCATAACGAAAATTTGACTCAATTACCAAATGTGTAGTATGAAATTATTCGTAAAAGTATGCTTTCTCCAAATATGCTAATGACCCACCCTCGTTCTATTTAAAAAAACTGAGATATAATTAAAAAAATATGATTTGGTCTTCTTTTAACCGGCCAGGACAATAAAAACATTAGACTATCAAATCTATTTTTCCAAGGCTCCTTGATTAAAAATTAAATTTTTAACATAGCCATGGCACTCTAGATTGAAATTTAAAATATGATTTTTTATTAAGCAAAAATATCAAAAGTTGACATATGATATGTCATTCTATTCAGAATGTCATTTTTAATTGAATAAAGTAAAAAAAGTACTAAGGGTGACATTTAAAAATCAAAAGTTGTAGTCATTTCCGGTGAAACAGGAAGTGACCAAAAACAATTGAATACGTCAGTCAATCCCAATTTATGTCATATACTAACTTACCAAATCTCGTTTTTTTATCTGAGAAAATAAAAAAGTTATAGGGGTGGGCCACTTTTGAAACACACCCAGTATACCACCCCGTACATATTCATATATAATTACCTGTTTTTTTAATCATTTTCTTATCAACCATCTTCAGTTTTTCTCCTGGACATCTAAGCAGTAATCTTCCTACACCCTCGCATCTTCTCAGTACTTCATTTCTTAATAGTTTCTTTCTCATATGATCGTGTATGATGGGACACTCCTCTATCCACAAGCTTACATAAGCAAAATCGCATAGTAATTGACAGGCACCGTGTTGAGAAAATTTAATTTTGTTATTGTAAATGTGATCCAACCAAGACTCACAAATTAATGTTAGGATTGTGTTGCATATGGTGTCGTTATCCACTGCTTTTAGTACTGGAGTTAAAGTCCTCTCTATAGGAACAAAATTAAATAGTTAATTAATTATTAAATAAATGTTCCGTCACAGTAGGCGCAGCATTTCAATTTCAGCTTGGCTATTTCTGACAATTGGATAATTGAAGTTAAAAGTTTAAATAAAACATTCCCCTAACAATTTTCATTCTAATAAAATCTAATAAATTAATTGTGTCATAATTTTTAAGAGACGTATTAATAAATGATTTATCTCAAATCGCAAATATGTGAATATAAAGGAACTACTACGTATTTTTGGAATCAATATAAAATTAAATTGTGTTTATTGAACACAATTTATCCTATATAAAAGTGCTTCGTTTGTCCGTTGGAGGGTATTGCGTTTAAAAAAAATAATATATTTTTTAAGATATTTTGAGAACCAATATTCTAATTTGAATGAAAATTTCACACCTCTACTTTTCAACCAATAACATGCTTTAATGTTGACTAGTTACCATGGCAACTGAAAAAATTTCCGGAAATTTTTTCGAGGCGCCACGAAACTTTAGTGGAAATTTTTTGACAGTTGAAAAGGTAAACATAAGATCTACAATCATAATGTGAATGAACTACAATGTCTATATATTGAAATATTACCCATTTGAGTTTTAGCATTTGATGTAACTAATTAAAAATATAATAATATTTGTTAATATTATTAACAAATTGAAATTATTTTAAAATGTCATGTTGGATTAATATTTTTTTCAAATTTAGGTGTGAAATTTTCTTACCGAATACCACGCAAGCTTAAATTATTCCTGGAAATTTTCTTTCGGGCACGAATATTTTAGGAAAATTATCCCTCGTCTTCGACTCGGGATAATTTTCAAAATATTCGTGCCCTCAAAAAAATTTCCGAAAATAATTTAAGCTCTTGTGATATTATAAGTGAGAATTGGACTGCCTATACATTTTGCTTGTCAGTTTAAAATCTGACATTTACAAAAAAACAGACGTAAAAAAGTCTTTCTAGTATTTATTATATTTTTGTCTCCTGTAAAAAGCGCCAGCTCGCATAGTTTTTGAGAAAAAAAACATGTTTTTCCAAGCTGACCTACAAAAATATTTCTAGATTCCCTCTAAGGACAAACAAAGTATTTTTGTATGGAGGCAAATTGCGCCCAATGAACTTAAACTTCTATGTCCACGGAATATTGGAACCCCCGGTATTCTATTTACCTAGATATGTATTAACATAAGAACAGGCTGCATTAGGCACCACATTATCACTAGCCTTCCAAAAAACCTTAGGAGGAAATATCATTTTTAAATTAGCCAAATTTGTAATTTTACAGATTGAAGCCAACGTTTCCAGACATTCGGATGGTGCATCCTGAAAAATCTCCTTATATTTAAAAAACTAAAGAATTTTATTAACAAACCTTTAACTTGTGAATATTTTCTTGAACCTCTGAAACTAGTTTGGCTCTCATTAGGGCACACACTTCGACATGGACTGCCATACCACCCTTTTCTATTTCTACAGTATGGTCGATGAGTCTTAAATTATGTAGCTGAACTAAACAGTTAACTATGTCGGTGTGAGATATTTTGAAGAAGGCTTCAACATTCCAATTGTTTGAATTTTTTCTGCATTCGCTGATTGTCCATAACCTTGTAGTATGAATACTGTGATCTATTAATAAAGAATATTGGTATATCATATCGTCGTAAATTGTAGAAATTGGATTAAATTTTACTAGGGTACGTTATGAAACATTAGAAGACTATCTTGGTCGAATAAATATGTATAATGTTGTATAAATTCACGATGGGGATTCAGTGGACAACATCACGTTTGTCTGCAACCAACTTTTTCACGGGTGAAAACTCCGCACTAGTATACCGGGTGAGTCTCAAAAGTGGCTCACCCCTATAACTTTATTTTTTCAGATAAAAAAACGAGATTTGGTATGTTAGTATATGACATAAATTAAGATTGATTGACGTATTCAAGCCATTTCGGCCTCTTCCCATTTCACCGGAAATGACTACAACTTTTGATTTTTAAATAGCACATTCGGATTTTTTTTTACTTTATTCGATAGAAGATGGCACTCTGAATAGAATGACATATCATATGTCAACTTTTTACATTTTCGCTTAAAACAAAATTGTATTTTAAATTTCAATCTAGTGGCTTCTTCATGGCTGTGTTAGAATAATTTTTTTAGAATTTAGAATAAGTGGGAGGGGGGTTAATCTCTGCGACCTTAAAGATCTATTGTGTCCCCCTTTCTTGAGTTATAACTCATCATACAGTCCCAGGACTTCCTACGGAGACCCGTGTCCCTCACAGTCGAGGAGCTACGACCCAGGCCGGGTAGACGAAACGGTAGCTTGTGTCGCCTGTTGGGTTTAGAGGTAGGAGGTAGGCTCCCGACCCTTGGAGGAGGTGGTAGCTTGTATGCCACTTGCGGAGGATGGTCTCACGCAAGTGTCAGCCACCTCTCCTGTAGTTCTCTTTGGGTTTGGCCCCTTGGAACTTTCATTGTTACTGTTCCCAGTGTCGCTAGGGGGTTTCCCCACAGCTTCACCGGTGATGTTTTTATTACTATTATTACCAGATCTCATAGTGTTCCTATGAGTCGCTAGGGACAGTCGGTCCACTTCTACAGAGCCCCGCATGTAGAAGTAAGGGGTAAAATACAATGGGGTGCCCCCCGGTGCCCCAAGGTTGAGGCTGTCCGTAGCCCCGCCCGGTATCGTTATATGTCGTGGTGCAATTCCCTGGCCACGACACTACAGTCAGAGACAAGACGATGAGTGAGATGCTTCTTAGACCAAGCCAAGTGCTATGGGGGATTCCCCCCAGCACCTGATCAGGAGCTTCCCCACCAACGACAAAGTCTTGCATCTCCTAGGGGAAGATGGCTGTGTTGAAAACACTAATTTTTAATCAAGTAGCCTTGGAAAAATAGATTTTATCGTCTAATGTTTTTAGTGTCTTGTCCTACCCGGTTAAAAGATGCCCAAATCGTATTTTTAATCATATCTCAATTTTTTTCAAATGGAACGAGGGTTAACCAAACGAACATTTTTTCCGAATAATTTGGTACAACACACTTGGTATTTCGAGTCAAAATGTCGTTATGAATCACGTGTTGAATTTCAAATAAACCATATTAAAAATTGCCAAAAGTTGACATATGATATGACATTATATTCAAGTGTCATTTTCAATTGAATAAAGTAACAAAATACCGAGAGTGCCATTTAAAAGTCAAAAGTTGTAGTCATTTCCGGTGAAACAGGAAGTAACCCAAAGCAATTGAATACGTCAATCAATCCTAATTTATGTCATATACTAACCTACCAAATCTCGATTTTTTAGCTGAAAAAATAAAAAAAGTTATAGGGGTGCGATAGCTCAGTAGTATTAGGATTTAGACCAGTGATACATTTGACTGAAACGTTGCGTTAGTAAAATTAAATAAAGACAATGGATGTGCAATTTCTTTTACTTTGAATACTATGTATACAGGGTCCGGCAATAGTGCGTCCGGCCGTAACCACCGTAATAACAAGGCCAGACAGTTTATTTGTGACGTCATCAACTGGAGGCCTAAACTTTGATTGCATTTGATACACTTTATACGTATATAATGGATATAAACTTTAATTGCACCGAATTTTTAATAAATAATAATTAAACATAAAATTTAAAAAACATCAGATTGATATCCCATCTCACATTATCCATCGTCATTGTATTTATTTATGCTGTATGTGTGTCTAAGTTTCTGTTATTTCCTTTTCCAAGTCTATCATTATTTTTTAACAACAGTAGTTTTTCAGACGTGTATTTCTAATAGAATTTATGACAATTTTTACAATAACTTAGCATTATAAATAGTACATTGCGGAAATTTTAATAATGGTGTTATTACTTTTAATGTAATCCAAAGATATTTTAGATAAAAATATTTTTTTATTGTGAATTTTGAGAAACTCTTCATGGCTTTGTTAAAGATTATATATTCAAATAAAACTATATTAGTTATTTCATCTTTTGGAAACCCAAGACAGCCTTTAGTTAGTTTTTATAAGTTAATTTTGTTCAATATCAGTGTTGTCTGAAAATGTTAAATTATTTTTAGGGACATTAATGACTGAATCTTAAGTTTCTTTTCGCCTTCATATAAATGTCGAACACAAATACTGTACTGACTCCCGGCTAACTGTCTATATTTTCCAAACCTACTTTCAAGAGGATCAGGTTGCAAGTTCTCTAGTAAAACATACCTCATATTTTACTCATTAAAACAATATTTTATTACTTCAAGCTCAACCTGTTACTCAACCCAAGTTAATAACTTTAATATTGCACACAGATAAAAGTTAGAAATTTTTTATTATTTTCATCGCATTTTAAAGAATTTAGTAAATAACAAGCATGACTAATAATTTGATCAGTATTACTATTAGGGTTCGGAAAACTACATGTTACTCTTAAAAACTACATAAACTACATTACATGTAGTTAATCGATGTAGAGGGTGTAGTTTATGTAACTTTCAAATATGAAAGGTTTGAGGTGAGGTAAAAGATAAGTAAAAACTTTAGAAAATACATATAAATATATTTGAGAAAACAGAAGAAATATAGCTTTAAATATAATATTCACATTTTATTATTTAGACATTATAAGGCATTATACCTTTTAAATTGTATAATTGCCAAACACTTTATAGTTTAAACACCTCTTTTTACAGATTTATAACTTTTTTCACCCTTCTATTATCGATTATAATTACCACGTCCGCACACCTACCGATAAATCGATGACTGTCAACTGCGGCAATACCACTCCGCTACGCGCTGCGACAGGCGCCGCCACGCGACGCCGCGCCGACGCCGTCGCGTCCCCCCGGAGCAGGGGGGCGTGAAATATCGATAAAATACATAATAAAATTATATAAGAGTTTCTTGCCTTGAACTGCTAATATAGAAATTAATTCCACGCTGTCTTCGACATAATGTGGATCAACCTGCTCTCGCTACCGGTTTCGGGGCCCTACCCCATCATCAGGTGAGCAGTCGTTTCCACAATATGTCGAGCACACGTATACACACGACTTGTCGTAAAGTAGCGATAAGATATTAAGTCCCGCATCGCGAGATAGCGGCCTGCGTGCAATGGTTTATTTTCCATTATATAATTTGGGCTAGCCGAAAAAAGCCTTTAATTACTATCGATAGTTGTGCCTCGGTGGTACGAAAGTACTACCATTGCACGCAGGCCGCTATCTCGCGATGCGGGACTTAATATCTTACCGCTACTTTACGACAAGTCGTGTATATATACTCTGCGCTGTGCTCGACATATTGTGGAAACGACCCAAGCTCACCTGATGATGGGGTAGGGCCCCGAAACCGGTAGTGAGAGCAGGTTGATCCACATTATGTCGAACACAGCGTGGAATTAATTTCTATATTAGCAGTACAAGGCAAGAAACTCTTATATAATTTTATTATATACCTAAAAACTGCAAGAAATTTATTTTCCAATATATAAAATACATAATATACAGGGTGGTCCGAATTGTATTCCGGAAACTTCGACAGCATATTCTGCAGATAAAAATAAGTAAAAAAGCTCCTATAAATGCATTTCGGAGATACAGGGTGTAGAAGTTTCATTTTTATTTCGATTTTTTCCAAATAATTTATGAAGTAAAGTCAATATTTGGAAGAAAATTTGTCTCTGGGAGTTTTTTGACATGAGGAATTTGATTTTGATGTCAATATGACTCCTACTGGTAGAGGGCGCCACTACATATTTTTTAACTGGTTTGAAGAATAATAACTTCTCGTCGGTACCTGTATAAAACTACTGAGTAAAAAAATATACATTTACGACGATTTTTACGTAAAAAATGTCTCTTGGTAAAAATCTCTACTAGTAATGGTCCGCGAGATATTTGGAGTCAATATTATCAATACTTGTCATCATTGACATAAATTAAACATGTTGACTTAATAGTTATTAGACTGAAATCATAAATTTTAAATGTTTTTGTGCCAAAAGTTCATCAGAAACTGTTTTATCATCATTTTTTCGCAGAAAAATTTATAATTAATATAAAAAAATAAAAAAATCCCAAATTTATTATTTCAGTCAAATAACTATCTACTCAACGTGTTTATTTTTTATCAATAATGACATGTATTGACTATTTCCGTTCTAAATATATTCAGAGCAGTTGCTCGTAGCGATTTTTACCAAGAGACATTTTTTACGTAGAAAGTCACGGAAATTTATAATTTTTCACTCAGTAGTTTTATACAGGTACGGACGAAAAGTTATTACCCTTTAAATAGTTAAATCACATGTAGGTGGCGCCCCCTGCAAATAGGAGTCATATTGACATCAAAATCAAATTTGTCATATCAAAAAACTACCAGACACTAATTTTCATCCAAATATTGACGTTACTTCAGAAATAATTTGAAAAAAATCGTAATAAAAATGAAATTTCTACACCGAAAATCCGAAACTAAGCATTTTAGGACATACATTTATACGAACTTCTTTACTTATTTTTAACTGCAGAATATGCTGCCGAAGTTTTCGGAATACAGTTCGGACCACCCTGTATACTATAAAAAATATCTATTTTTTTATTGTTTTTTTCTCATATTACTATTGTGAACTTAAAATATTCCTTTATTAATTTGATTGATAAAAAGTGAGAGAAAACATTTATTGACTGGTATGATTTTTTCCGTATTCTATTAAAACTATTTTTATATATACTATAATATTTTTAAAAACTCGGAAAAGACATTTTAAAACTTCGAAATATATCTGGCGAGTGAAAAAAGATCCACAATTTAAACTTTTATCGGGTAATTATCAACTCTGCTAAATAGAGTTGGGCCTCCAGTTGGTGACGTCACGAGATTTTTACGTCACAGCTGTCCGGCACGGTCCGGCATCTGTAGCTCCTAGAATAAAAAACTTTGGAATTTTGTTTAAGTGCAAACCTAAAGCATGTACTAGGATGTATTTCAGGAAAATATTTTCACTTCTATAGGGTGGCTCAAAAAAGTGTGAGTGGATGGGGATCATTTTTTTAAATGGAACACCCTGTATATTATTGCATTTTTGGCTTCCTTTCAGATCACCTTACATAATCCTAAGATATGATTAAATATATTTCGATAGTTTCAGAGATATTAATAAATAATAAAAAAATATATATTTTTCAGAGTTTCTTAAAAAAATTATTAAAAATACAAGAACTGTCCTGAAATCAAAACTATATTAGGTATTTACTTTAGATGGTCTACACTTACTTTGGTATAAATATGGTAATCGTAAAACATACCGGGTTTTCACAATTCTACGCCAAACTTAATTGTGTCTTAACTTAATATATATACTATATATATAATAAACTTAATATCTAAAATATAAAATAATTTTTCTTCGTTTTTTTTTAAATAGAGCCTGTATATTATTTTTCAATAGATGGAGAATTAAAAAATGAACATTCTTTGTATTTAGAGTATACATTTTTTTAACGGTTTCAATATAGATATTCGCTCGGAGATATTCGCGGTTTTATATTTTATAAGGCATTTTCCACAGTAAATTTTTATCAAAGCCACCCATTGATTTTTCTCTCGTATTTTACCGTTGAAGGAGCCATATGAAATAATACTGCGTGTATCTGCGAAACCATTGAAATTTTTGAAATACTTTAAATACAAAAAATGTTAATTTTTTAACTCTCCATCTAATAAAAAAATAATATACTAAAAAAATAATATATAATTCCATTAAAAAAAAAAACAAAGAAAAATTACTTTATATTTTAGAAAGTTTGGCGTAGAATTTTGAACACCCTGTATGATTTAAGATTACTATATTTATAACAAAGTAAGTTATAGACCATCTAAAGTAAATACCTAATATAGTTTTGATTTCAGGACGGTTCTCGTATTTGTAATCATTTTTTTAAGGAAGGTTGGAAAATTTATATTTTTTATTTATTTATTAATATCTCTGAAATAATCGAATTAAATTTACTCATATTTTAAGATTATGTAAAGTGATCCAAAAGGAAGCCAAAAATGCAATAATATACAAGGTGTTCCATTTAAAAAAATGATCCCCATCCACTCACACTTTTTTGAGCCACCCTATAGAAGTGAAAATATTTTCCTGAAATACATCCTAGTACATGCTTTAGGTTTGCACTTGAACAAAATTCCAAAGTTTTTTATTCTAGGAGCTACTGATGCCCGACGCACTATTGCCGGACACTGTATTGTTTACTGTATTGTTACTCTTTTAAACTTTAAAAACATATTTCAAAATGATTCTTTTTATGTTTTTCAAAGAAAGACTGTATTCATTTTTATTCTTTTCTGTAACTCCATATTACCGAGTCTGTGCAGCACCGGAATTTGTTCGACAACAGGAAGTTCGTCCAGTGGTGCACCGGATATCCAATTCGCCGTCACCTCGCACAAGTTACACAACGTCACTAGTTCCTGAAGGACGTTGCAAAATAGCTGCCCTGTTTCCGGATTACATGTCGTTTTGGAGGCTACCAAAGCTTTCCTGAAACAGTAGTCCCATAAAGTGGACGTGACGTGGACTCCTAGAGCATCGGCGAGGCTAGTCAGAGCGGATAGTATTACCGTAGGTATTTCAGCTGAAAATATTATGAGGTTAACTAGTTGTCATTGACAGGGTGTCTTACTAGGAAATAATTTGAATGATATAGCAATCAAAAAATCTCAAAAATACATTTTGGAGGAATCTTAAAGATACTCTCCAATTTCTAAAACTGGAATATATCCAAAATTCGTATTTCTCAATTTTCTATGACAAAAAGTGTTAAACTTGTTTTTAAAACGGTTATTTCTGTAGATAGTGTGTATTATCACATATTGAAAAGTGTAAACCTCCTAAATAAAAGTAATTTACATCTATTTTTTGAAACATATCTCACATTTACCTCCATATCTTTTTTGTGTTGAAAAAGTTCTGAAAATTTAAATAATTTTTTATCGATTCAAAATATTCATTACTGACTATATGAAATTCATATATTCAGCAATATACAAATCAAAAAATTCATTACTGACTATATCAAAATTCATATTTTCAGCAATATACACAATACTATAATAAAAAAGTTAGGAATTTTGTTTAAGTGCAAACCTAAAGTATGTATTAGGATTTATTTCAGGAAAATATTTTAACTTTTACAGAGTGGCTCAAAAAAGTGAGTGGATCGGGATGATTTTTTTTAAATGGAACACCCTGTATATTATTGCATTTTTGGCTTCCTTTTGGATCACTTTATATAATCCTAAGATATTATATTAAATATGCTTTGATGGTTTCAAAGATATTAATAAATATATATAAAAAAATATTTTTTTCAGCCTTTTTAGAAAAATTATTAAAAATACAAGATATGTCCTGAAATCAAGACTGAATTAGGTATTTACTGTAGTGGGTCTGTACTTATTTTGCTGCAAATATCGTAATCTTAAACCATACAGGGTGTTCAAAATTCTATGCCAAACTTTCTAAAATATAAAATAGTTTTTTTTTGTTTTTTTTTTTAATGGAACACCCTATATATTATTTATTTCCTAGATGAAGAATTAAAAAATAAACACTTTTTGTATTTAAAATATTTCAAAATTTTTAATGTTTTCGCAGATATTCGCGGTTTTATATTTTTATCAAAGCCACCCAATGATTTTTCTTGCTTTTTACCGTTGAAAGAGCCATACGTAATAAAACCTCGAATATTTGCGAAACCGCTAAAAACTTCTTAAAAAAAACAAAGAAAAACTATTTTATATTTTAAAAAGGTTGGCATAGAATTTTGGACACCCTGTACGGTTTAAGATTACGATATTTGTGTTAAAGTAAGTACAGACTCACTACTGTAAATACTATATAGTTTAGATTTTAGGACATTTCTATTATTTTTAATAATTATTTTAAAAAAGTCTGAAAAGAATTATTTTTTTATTTATTTATTAATCTTTGAAACTGTCTAAACATATTTAATAATATCTTAGGATTATGTAAAGTGATTAAAAAAGAAGCCAAAAAATGCAATAATATACAGGGTGTTCCATTTAAAAAAAATAATTTCGATCCACTCATAATTTTTTGGGCCACCCTGTAGTAGTTAAAATATTTTCCTGAAATACATCCTAATGCATACTTTAGGTTTGCACTTAAACAAAATTCCTAACTTTTTTTATTGGAGCTACAGATGCCCGACGCACTATTCCCAGACCCTGTAAACAATACACCTATAAATCTGGTATTACTAGCACTAAAATAAATCTTTCATATTCCTGCATTTTTTCTATTAAAGTCCTGTATTCTTCCTTATGCCAGCCACAGACGTTCCATTATACTTGCCAAACTAGACTTACGCAAGTATACTGAAACGTATGTGGGAAGATTTTTGCGCATTTGTATCTAGACTCGTGCAAGTTTCAAGAAAGTTTCAATTTCTGATTCAGAGACTATAGCTTCTGCTAAGCCGCTAAGAAAAGTTGTTACTCGGTAACCTAACGAGTTTGTAAGTACACCGGAACGTGTATAGCTGGCTCTACACTTTACTTAAGAAAACAATAAATACCAATCTAAACTGACAGATATCATATAACAATACACCTAGTCTGTCCAACGAGAGAGTCCATAAGTGTCAGTTGGGTCTGACATTTTAATTCACATGTAAAATGTTTCTCTAAATTTTTAAATGTCATCTGTGGAAATATTTTCTCGTTGGGTAGACCAAATAGACTCTAGCAAAATAGGGGCCATATTTTTTGTGACAATTTTTTTTTAAATTTTGATATAGTAGTAACCTGTTGGAACAAAATGATTGATCCATTCTCTTAAATGTTGACTAGATCTGGGAGATCTTGCTGACAAAGGATGACAAGTCCACCACAGTACCACATGTTCCATGTAGTTTCCTACTTCCGCCCATAATATTTGCTCATAATATTCCAAAACTTTTTGAATAATCTTTCCACTCAATTTATATTCTCCTAAAACAATTACATCGATAATTAAAATAACTACAAGAGTATTTGTATTACCACTCTTGTTTCTTTTAACTCCTTCTTTGCCCAACATAGCAGGAGCTATTTGTTGAGTTAAATTTAGAATGTTCAAAACATTAGCTTGTTCTGATGCAATTAGTTCTTCCAAATGCACGAAACTTTCAATACTGTCGTCGATGTTAATAGAGTTTTCTTTTTTGTTCATTTCTACTTCATTTTCAACCAAAGGAGGAGATAAATGTTTCGTTAGTGCACTTAAAAAAGTTGAATTACGTGTTTTATTTTTTCTTTATATAAAATGTTTTTTATTTAAATCTTATTTAACGACTTCTAATGTATCATAAAAAAATTTGATCGCATTAAATGTTGGTTGGTTAATTGAAAGTAGAATACAGTTCCCTAAGTAGGCAACAAATTCTACACACAGATATATTCCTAATGACTCTTATCATAGTGTTGAACATACACTTTAAAAGAAAACACAAAAAATAGAAATAAATATGAAACTTTTACACCCTGTATCTCCGAAACTAAGCATTTTAGGACATATATTAATACGAAGTTTTTTACTTGTTTTTATCGGCAGAATATGGCTACTGAAATTTCCGGAATACAGTTCGGAGAACTCTGTATATAATTTTCTATAATGGAAAATAAATTTCTTGCAGTTTTTAGGTATATAATAAAATTATATAAGAGTTTCTTGCCTTGAACTGCTAATATAGAAATTAATTCCACGCTGTCTTCGACATAATGTGGATCAACCTGCTCTCGCTACCGGTTTCGGGGCCCTACCCCATCATCAGGTGAGCTTGGGTCGTTTCCACAATATGTCGAGCACAGCGCAGAGTATATACACACGACTTGTCGTAAAGTAGCGATAAGATATTAAGTCCCGCATCGCGAGATAGCGGCCTGCGTGCAATGGTTTATTTTCCATTATATAATTTGGGCTAGCCGAAAAAAGCCTTTATTTACTATCGATAGTTGTGCCTCGGTGGTACGAAAGTACTACCATTGCACGCAGGCCGCTATCTCGCGATGCGGGACTTAATATCTTAAAGCTACTTTACGACAAGTCGTGTGTATATACTCTGCGCTGTGCTCGACATATTGTGGAAACGACCCAAGCTCACCTGATGATGGGGTAGGGCCCCGAAACCGGTAGTGAGAGCAGGTTGATCCCCATTATGTCAAACACAGCGTGGAATTAATTTCTATATTAGCAGTTCAAGGCAAGAAACTCTTATATAATTTTATTATATAATTTTCTATATATTTAATTATTAGAAAGTACCAATATAGGAACACTATTAATTTAAATATACATACACATAAATCTCGAAGCTAGAATTGTCAGAATTATTGTCCTCTTCGGTGTTATCGTGCATCTTGCATGTATCAAATAAGCAGTCAATTAATCTGTGACAGCAATATTCTGCTCTGTTTGCTGACAAGATCTGCAGCAAGCGAGTCACTGAAAACTTCCTCAATGGAAAAAACAGATAGGGGCAAGTGTTGTTACAAACACTGTTGGTATTTTTGGACAAATTAAACTTAGAATCCATTGATAGTAAACTATTATACGACGTAGACATCCTAGAATTAAATAACATAGAGAATGGAATACTGTAAGGATATGCATCTACCTCAATGTTAGTTTCATTAAGAAATCTCCATGATATACAAACAAAGAAGCGATATCACAAATAAACTCTTGCAGTATATAGCAAAGTTGTAATTTGACCTTCCACAGTAAATTCCTGTACATTTTTAGCTTCATGTAAATGCAAGAGGTCACATTGCCTGGCTTCAACAGTTTAAAACACTTTTCAAATTTTTCTGTCAGATTCTCTAATTTTGCAGATATTTTTTCCATTTCCTGAAATAATACAGCATAAATTGTTTCAAAGAAACTTGAGTCTAAATCAGAACCGCTTTACCCATTAGGCAAGAAAGGAAACTACTTAGGGCGGCATTTTTTTAACGAAAACAACTCGGAAACCAGTATGTTCGAAAATAAAACATACTGCGCCAATATTGAATTAATTCTGAATTATCAAAATCAAGTATTAAATATTTTTAGCATACCGGGTGCGTCTCAAAAGTGGCTCACCCTTATAATTTTTTTATTTTTTTAGATTACAGAACGAGATTTGGTATAGTAGTATATGACGTAAATTAGGATTGATTGGTGTCAATCAATCCTAATTTCTGTCATATATGTACTCGTGCTGTAATCTAAAAAAATAAAAAAGTTATAGGGGTGAACCACTTTTGAGATGCACCCGGTATAAATAAAATGAAAAAAAAAAATAATAAAAATGTTAATTTTCAGACTACCTAGTTTGATGCAATGGCCTATATAAAACAAAAAACATTCAAAATAATTTTATAGACTTTCTAAATGATCTGATAACAAAAAAAAACATAAATATGTTGGATTCAAGTTTTTCTTTTCTATAAACCATTGCAACAAGCTTGATATTATAAATATTTTATTTTTTACGAATATTTCAGTACCTACAACAAAGAAAAAAAAAGAAAAAAATATAATTTTTTGAAAAATTTTCGAAAAATATAAATAATGCTATTATTTTGGAAAGTCTCTGTATATTTAACATAAATACCCTTGTTAATACGGGTACATACGAGGATAATATATAGTTATTCGTGAAATAATATTCTGAACAACTTTTCTCTATGACTTTTTTCGAAATTTGGTCTTCTAACACAATTTTTTTACATATTTTAGGGAGACAAAATTTCCTTTTGTTGGCTGTATTAGATACTTTACTTGCTTGATTTGTTATTGGTGAGAGGGGGCGGCAAAACAAATGAAATAAACCCAAAAAGATCACATTAGTACCATACGATCGAAAAAAAAAAACGGCGTCAAAGACGGCTGGGAAATGGGAATCGATGATAATTTTGGCGAGGTCCAGCCTTAGAAGTCATTAACATTGTCCTTACTCTTGTTTGCTTTAATGGCACTTACTTACTTTTTTAACCTTTCCAACCAATTTTTAGTAACTGCTGACGTCTAAAGATTGACCTCGCCAAACTTATTATTGATTGTTATTCCCCAGCCGTCTTTGACGCTGTTTTTTTCGATCATACTTTATAAATAAGTTTAATATTGCTAACTTACCTCTACCGGCAACAAATCTTCACTAACATTCCCCAAATTCGCTACATCACTTCTGTGAACGTTTAGCGTCCCCAAAGACACCTCACTAACTTCTCTAATTAACACTAGACAATCATTTTTTAAAACTCTACAACTGGTAAATGTATCATCGTAGTCAGCTACAACCGCTGGCAACCACTTAGCTAAACTTTGTAGATTGCCGGACATAAAATTACCTCTCAGAATCAGTGACAGTAGTGACAGTAAAACTTCTAACAGATTGACCTGGAATCACTGACCGACATAATTTTGTATGTCTAGGGAGACATCGAGACATTGAAACGGATAAAAGAATATTTGTCCTTGCCATTGTCTAGTTACCATGACAAGTATAATCGATAGACACTGCAGGTCTTGATCAGTTTGTGTAAATACTTTTTTTTCCTATTAGGCTTTGTTTTTTTTTTCTAATTTCCGCTTTCATGTGATACTGACTGCTGTTAGTAATTAATCTCTCTATATTGTCCGTTTCTTCAGTAAATTTTTCGGGGTAGATAAGCATAAAAACAAATGCTTAAAAATCAAAATTACCACCTATCATGTCAAAAGCTACTGGTTACAATCGGTTCGTCAGTGGTTCAGAATTGAATACAGAATTTTCTGCCACAAATTTAAATAACGTCAAGGTCATCTCGATATTCATAAAATTGATAGAATGGCAAGGGACACTGGCAAGATCAATAGCCATTTAAAGTTGCTGGGATTAAAAGACGTAAAGATTTTGTCAATCAGAAGAAGAAACACAATCAACACTGTATCAATATTAGAGCCAGGCAAATATGTAGTTCTTTGTACTAGGCTACAATAAATCATTAGCAAGGAGCCACATTACAGTTTCAGTCTCTAAGAGTACAAACAAAGTGAGGCATCTCGGTGCGATGCTCGCCGCGATGCATCCTACACGCACTTACTCGCCGTTTTAAAACAGTGTTTAAAACGTACGCTAAGTTATCAGATATTGGAAAAAAATACGTCTGGTAAATGCCATCTAGATATCAGATTACAATCGACATGAAAAAGTAGCAGTTGATTGGACCAACCTCATAAAATAAAATCCAACCCAAATATAACTATTATTACAAAAAAATCAACAGTAGGCGGGTAAAACCCGATGAGACTATTGAATCACATAATCACAGTTATCTATCACAGTTGTAAAAATAAATAAATAAATACTGCACTGCGTACATTCAATTAAAAAACAAATCACAAATCAAAATTAACATCACAGTTTACGATCACATGTAGTGAATAAAAAGGTTGTTCCAGCTCTTCATTTCCACATCAAGTTTATTCTTAAATGTATTTACACTTGTAGCATTCACTGTATCATACTGGAGCCTGTTCCAGCTATACACTACTCTATTTGTAATAAAGTTCCGCCTTAAGAGCTTATTACAGCGTTCTTTATCCAATTTTTTGTTATGTCCCCTAAGGTTGTGCGTTTCACTGATATGGAAGATGTTCATGACGCATCCATAGTAGCCACTTGTAATCTTGAATGTCTCGATGAGATCGCCACGAATTCTCCGTTCACGAAGAGTTGTTAGACCAAGCCTTTGCAGTCGATCCTCGTATGGCAAATTCCTCATATCCAAAGGAATCTTAGTGACCCTCCGCTGAACACGCTCAAGCATTTCAATGTCCTTGGCATAATAGGGGTTCCATATGCATTGTGCATATTCAATCTTTGGTCTAATGTATGATTTATACAATTTAAGTATCATCTCGCCTGATCTATTTGCAAATGCTGCTTTTATTAAGTAGATCATTGTATTGGCTTGTTTAACTATGCGATTTATATGGTATTCCCACTTCAGATTTTCCGCAATTTCAATGCCCAGGTCTTTTTGATGTTGCACACTTGAGACAGATAGTATCGTTGATGTGGGTTATTAGGGCCAATGTGGAGAATGGTGCATTTTGAGTTGTTCAGTGGCATTTTCCAGATATTCGTCCACGATTTAATGGTTGTTAAGTCTTCTTGGAGCAATTTTTTTCTGTTAGGGGGTTGCAGTACACATTTGTATCGTCGGCGAAGGATGTATAGTTGGTTTTAAGGGTAGGGTATAAGTCACTCAAGTAAATAATAAATAGTAGCGGGCCCAATACTGAGCCTTGTGGCACACCACAGTGAACGTATTCGTCTGAAAGTGCTGATCCCACACGCACCTGGAAAGATAGAAAAGGTTGATTCTAGATAAGAAAAATAGGTTGATTCTAATACTCCGTCAATCTAGCGAGTCAGACTCTATATTCCAGACTGATTTGGGAATGCCTAGAACTACAGTTGTTATCAAACCATAATAAAGTAACACCAGTTTGAGCTTCAAAGCACTGCGTGATTAAGAAACTAAGGAAAAATACTGAAGAGCTTCAAGAATATGATCAGACATAAATTGTGCCAATTCACGATTGTATTATAAAAAAAATCAAATTTACTCCAAGAGAGGAGATAAAATTGCAACTGAACGTTTAACATTTTAAGAGCTTTAGGAACACAAATGAAGATTATAAATATTAATTTTTAAAAGGGCTGTGGAATATATTCACGATACTTTTTTAGACTTAAAGATGAATGGACTATAGATAAAGACATAAGTAACCTACAGTATCCTAACAGGCATTACCATGACAGCCAAGCGAAATATACAGGGTGAGTCTTAAATAAGTGCAAATATTTTTAGGGGTAGTATATTTCGACCCCAGAAACACGATTACATATTTCAAAGCCCCATCTTTTCATGATATTTTGACTACATTTCGTGCACTATGAAACCCCATCATCAATGGCAAATTTAAATGGAATTTGGTATGTCGATAGATTGGACCAAGGCCAACTTAACCGTGGACGACACGTGTCACTGTGACAGTTAGTTTTGACGTAAGAAACGTCAAAGTTGATGTCGTCCGATCGCGACCAAATTTGGTGGGTAGGCTATGTAAGCGACGGTGCACACGGCCCCATCCTGCAAAGTTGGATACGACGTTTCTTTTACATCTTCATCAGGATCGGACTAAGGATTTGATATTGAAGAAAAATGTGGGTCGATATCGACATAATTGGGGACGGGCTACAGGATGACGCCCCCGACGTTTCGAACCGATGCATGCCTCTAAATGGACGAAATCATCAGGATGTTTTCCTAATTATGGGTCGATTGGAACCAAACTTGGCACGTGGATAGAGGTACCCGAATGGAGTCCTCAGACGGACAGACGGTTATTTTAACACAAATTTTGTGAAAGTTAATCAAATTATTTATTAATTTTTAATTTATTACTTTTTCAAACATGTCCTTCAAATCCTTCAATTTGATAGCTGTAAGTAAGATTTTCCACTTCAAATATGCGCACATAGGGCACACAATTTTTTTTTAAATAAAAAACATAGTATCGCCATAACTTAAATATTTATTTAAATTTATTCTCTTATTGGATATAACTTAACGCTATAACTAATTAATATACACTAGTTTTGTATAAATGCTTAGTGTAAAAATCGATAGCGGCAACCTGTCGTAACTTATATAAAATTTTCAGTTCAACCTAAAAAATTTTCGTTTCGATTTCGTCAAAGAAAAATGCAACGATCTCGTTCTTTACCGTTTCGCTGCATTTTCCTAAATCGATATCGAACCTAATCGTAATAAGTTAACATAAATGAAATCACAATAATTAACCGTCTAATATAATTGGGTTACGAGCGAAGCGATGGGAATTTTTGCCATGCGAAATTGATTTATTTAGAAGTTGGCCCACTGTTATGAAAATGCTCGAAGGCGAAATACCCATAGGACTTTTTTGAAGAGATTATCAGCAATGCCATATATGTTAACTTTATTTTTTATTAATCGCTATATTATTTAATATACAGATCGAAGAAAAAATAAAACATGAAATATAATATGAATTTTTTTAATCATAACAGTGGGCCACCCTGTATACTTGGACCTACTACGTCTAAAGAACGTTTCACGCGACATCTATACTTAGCACAGATCTTACTTAACAACATTGCACGGTCTATTTCAAAGAGAAAAATATGATAAAGCTAGATGCCCCTCCAGTGGTATGCACTGTTTTTCTTTAAAGCTGATAATCAACAGACGCTTTTCAGTCCAAGAAAATAGGCCTTCAAATACAAAGGTTTGTTAAATATAAGTTACTTTCAAAGATCTAAAAATAAATTTTAAAAATAAGATTTTTTTAAATTCACCCTAAGAAGGGGTGAAAAAAATAAATAAAATTATTTTTTTGAAATCTCGGAGAAACGGTAAGAACTAGAAAAAAAAGTTCAAATAAAAGTTGTGGAGCGTCAAATTTTGCAAAGAAATAATCTCTGTACTTTTTTCCTCAGATCAATGGATTTGCTAGAAGCTAGGGGATAATAGTAGAAATTTAAAAAAAAATTATAAGTTGCTGAAAAATTTATATATTTTAACATTTTTATTCAATTTGCTTGGAAAATTATAAATTTCAATTAATTTTTTTTTAAATTTACCCCAAGAAGGGGTGAAAAATATAAAGTGTTTTTTTTCATAATTCGGAGAAACGGTAAGGACTGAAAAAAATGTTTCAATATAAAAGCTGTCCTCTAGCTTCTAGCCATCCTATCTCGGTTAATTTTGATTTTAACCAAATAAGTATAGAGACCATTTTTATGTAAAATTGGACGCTATACAACTTTTATTTGAGTTATTTTTCTAGTTTACCGTTTTTCCGAAATTTCGAAAAAATAATTTTATTAACTTATTTCACCCCTTCTTAGGGGTGAATTTAAAAAATCGTTCACAATTCGTTTTTAGATCTTTCAAAGTAACTTATATCAAAAATGCAAGTTTTTACCAAAACTTCGTATTTGAAGGCCTATTTTCTTGGACTATTTGCTAGCCTATCTTTTCGAATCAATATCTATGTGAACTTGCTTATTTCACAGAAAAAATAGACTAACTAATTTTATACAAATCTGGGCATTGGTACAACACTGTATTCAGTATAAAACAACGAATAGTTTGTTGTTTTAAGTACTAATCCTTAAATAATAGTTGTTTTTTACTTAAATTATATTTATGTACAAACAAATCAAGTGATGTACCAACTACTACATGAAAAAAACACCAAAAACACGTGTTTGCATATGCAATGTATAATAATAAATAAATATAGTAAAAAAACAAGTCTAAACTCTCTGTTTTCTAAAATTATTTTGGTTGTGTCCTACTTATCACAATGTAAAATGACAAGAATCATTAGTTCTATTAAAAAAAACAATAATCAATTATTTCTTTGTTTACACTCACTTAGAAGCACACTTTTAAAATATTTACAAAATAAATTTATACAAAAATATATTTAAAAAAATTGAAATGAATTCGCATATTTTTTATTCTTTTAATTTTTAATCGTTCATTGAACTGAATTCTTTTCCATCCTGTATTTTTCTAATATATTTTAATGTTCCTTATAAATACAGTTTAGTTGATTTTTATAAATATATTCTAAATATAATAGACCAATTAATTTAATTCCCCAAATATTATTATATTTATCAATATTAATGTAAAAATAAAAACTAAAAACAATAAAGAAAATATAAGTTTATAAAAAGGCAACAATAATTATTCTTCTAAATTTCTAATAACAATCTGAATTAATAAAATTTAAAAAAAAGTCCCGTATTAGGAACTAAGCGTGAATGCTGAGACATGAAGAGAATGACGGATGTTAAAATAAAAAATGTAATAAAGAAAAGTATAGCGGTATCACCAAAGGCTTTCCTCTATATTCTCGATGGTAATGCTAAAAAATATACAGGGTGGCCTTAATTGTAATCGAGAAACTTTGGCAACATATTGTGCAGATAAAAATAAGTAAAAAAGTTCGTATAAAAAATGTCCTGAAATGCTTCGTTTTGGAGATACAGTGTATAGAAGTTTAACTTTTATTTCGTTTCTTTCCAAATTTCTGAAGTAACGTTCATATCTGGATAAAAATTGGTGTCTGGGTATTTTTTGACGTGTGAAATTCGATTTCTATGCCAGTATGACTCCTACTTGTAGGGGGTGCCACCTACATATTTTTTCACTGTTTTGAAGAGTAATAACTTTTCGTCAGTACCTGTATTACACTACTGAGTGAAAAAATATACATTTCCGCGGTATTTTACGTAAAAAAATCATGATATGCAGAAGACTGGCGGGAAATAGGTGGGGCTGCGCCCCTAACATTTTGCGCTGGATGTATACCATGATAGTAAGACCCATGATTACTTATGGAGCAGTTGCCTTGGTATACAAAACTAGAGCAACGTACAGCAAGGCAAAACCTGTGCAAAGTACAGAGACTGGCATATATCTGCATCACAGGTACCATGAGAACATGCCCAACAGCAGCAATGGAGGTCATTCTAGACCTAACACCACTGCATATTGTCGTCGGTAGTTATGCCAATGATTAGAATGGTCACCGACGGAAACAGTACTGGGAGAATTTTCAGGTCAGGGGCTTGGAACACCCTCAAAAAGAAAATTCCACTTCTCCAACTCCCAGTGGATGACATACCAAGAATTTACAACTTTGAGAAACACCTCAATGTAGTATTGAGTAATAAAAAGGATTGGAAGAAAGAAACGCTTACTCAGCATATAAAAGACTATACTATCACGTGGTATACTGATGCTTCCAAAACCAAAGCAGGGACAGGGATAGGAGTATTTGGGCCGAAAACTGAATACTCCGAACCAATGGGCACCTACCCCAGTATCATTCAGGCAGAAATTTGCGCTATCGAAAGATGCGTACAATTTATCTTAGATAGGAACTATCGAAAACAGGAAATTGCCATCCTATCCGATAGTCAAGCCGCACTTAACGCGATCAACTCAGTAACCATCAATTCGAAGTTGGTCAAATAATGCCTAGAGAAGCTCAACAAATTAGGCAAAGAAAATAAAGTCCTTCTACTCTGGGTGCCTGCTCACCAAGGGATAAAAGGCAACGAAAAAGCAAATGATCTAGTTAGAAAAGGAGCGAACACTCCACTAACTGGACCAGAACCGTTCTGTTTTCCAAACGGGAACCAACTGAAAGCGGAACTGAAGAATCTGGAAGACTCCATCCGTAACTTGGAATGGGTGTCCTCCAACGGTCTAAGACATTCGAAAAAGTTCCTCAGAACTTATGACCGAGAAAAATCAAAGGTTTTCCTTGATTTTAGTAAAAACAATCTTCGGATTATCACGGGGTTTCTAACAGGACACTGTCTCCTCAACAAACACCTCAGTAGGCTGAAACTGAGAAACAACGGCGAATGCAGATTTTGTAGGGAAAATGGGGAAACACCAGAACACCTTATCACTGAGTGCGCCGAGACGACGACCATTCGTGCCATGAACCTTGGTACGTCTTACGTCGAGGATGGAGAGCTGGCCTCTGTGGAGCCGTCTCAGATACTGGCTTTTGTTAAAGCCCTGAGACTGTATGATGAGTTATAACTCGTTATAACTCAAGAAAGGGGAAAATAGATCTATAAGGTCGCGGTGATTAACTCCCCTCCTAAACATTCTACGTAAAAAAGGTCTCTTTGTAGAAGTCGCTACGAATAATGGTTCTCCAGATATTTGAAATCGAAATAGTCAATACATGTCATCAAAGAATACGACTGAAATAATATATTTGAAATGATTTTGTGCCAAAGACTAAAAACTGTTTTATCATAATCTCTTCTAGAAAAATGTATGATTAATTAAAAAAGAAAAAGCAATCCCAAATTTACGATTTCAGTCAAATCACCATCTACTCAACATATTATTTATTTTTTTTGTCAGTAATATACAGGGTGAGTCTTAAATAAGTGCAAATATTTTCAGGGTTGGTAGTTCTCGATAAAAGAAACATATTTTCATTTGAAATAAATCCAAAATAACCGAGTTATTTTACTTTGAAAATTTCCAAAAAAAATAATTTTTCTTAAAATTTGAAAACCACTGGATATTTTCTGGGTTTTCTTTTCTTGTAGAATTAATATATGCACTACCTATGTATATTATCAAGAAATTATGTTTTTTAACTAAAAAAATTTCGAAAATTTTTGTTCGCGAAAAAACCTCATCGTGTTTCTGTGGTCGAAATATACTACCCCTAAAAATATTTGCACTTATTTAAGACTCACCCTGTACATTGACTATTTCCATTCCAAATATCTATGTGATGTAAAGTAAACGCCACGAATGTTTGGGAGTGATTCATCGGTCGCTACCATGTGAACTAATCTGTTCAAGGTCACATAAAACTTAATTCCAGTGCCGTGGTGTTTCAAGTCATATAATAATCAATATATAATTTGTTGTTTTAACTGTCAAAGTCTTATCAAAACATATATTTGGTTATAAATATAAAATGGAATGCCCCATTGGTCGCACTGCAAGCACACCAATGTAAAGACGCACAAAAACGAATCAATCAAAGAAACGCGATATTGTATCGCCTTTGTCAATCACGTTAACCTTTTAGAATAAGTAGGAGGAGCGCAGGCAGATGATTAGACCGGCCCTTTAAAAACCTACGTCTGCGGTAAAAATTTACGTTTTTAATGTAAAAATGATAGCGCGCGTGTCGATTCTAACTTCATCAAGCGATGAATCACTCCCAAACATTCGCGGCGTTTACTATATATTTTTTCACCCAGTACTGTAATACAGATACGGAAGAAAATGTATTACTCTTTGAAACAGTTAAGAAACGTGCAGGTGGCACCCCCTACAAGTAGAAGTCCTGTTGAAATAGAAATCAAATTTCTCATTTCAAAAAACACCTAGACACCAATTTTCAAACAAATATTATAGTCGATATTTGGATGAAAATTGTAAACCACCCTGTATATGAGTAAAAAATTTAAAAAAATATCAATTTTAAAACCATGTTCAGAAATGTAAATATATTTTTCATTTGAAGCAGAGTATTTGGAGTGATAACTAAATTAACAACAAAACTGTATCTAAGGAAATTATTCTAAACATTGTATCCATGCCGTTTAAATACAAGAGATTAAACACGCGTTTACTTTTATTTATTTATTATTATAACTTACAATTGATTCAACATTTTAGTCTTAATATTCGTCTCCTACCGTAACTTATTCAAGCTTCACGAGGTCAGTTCGAGAGAATTGTCTCAAAGTATCACTAACAAAACTCACACGGGAAAGGATGATATGTAACCTCCTACATTCATACTTTACCTCGACATCAACTTAATACCATTTATTTCTAACCGAAACGTTTCACACAGTTCGCACTTAAGTGTTGGGATAGTAACCAGTTGCGGGTGGATTCTGATTCGGATACTGCGTGTAATCCGGGTAAGAACTCGTCGGTGCTGCCGGCGGCGGAGGCGGATACATACCCTGAGGAGGATGAGGGTACTGCTGAGGATACGGAGTATACCCCGGATACATCGGCTGAGGCGGCGCGGTACTGCTATAGTCGTAGTTACCTTGTGGTGGAGGAGGGGCAAAATGCGGCTGAGGAGGTGGATAACCCTGATAACTGTAGTTATAATGCGGTTGGGATGGCTGGGGAGGATACCCCGTGTAACCCTCATAATGCGGAGGGTGTTGAGGGGGGTAGGCGTAGCCTTGAGGGGGAGGCGGGGCTTGGAAGGGAGGAGTGTTGTAGTTGTAGTAGCCGGTGCCGGTAGTATTGTTGTAACCGGTAGTGCTGTTGTATTCGGGATTGTCCGAGGATTGTTTTTGTTGTTGGGTCGAGTTCGGATGGAATTGTTGGTTGGTGGATTCGGAACCTTGGTCCGAAACGTACGTAACTTCGTCGCTTTGGTCGCTAGCTTCCTGCTCGTGGTCGTTATTTTCGGACATATCCAGCTGAAACAAAATAATAATAAAATGACTGAACTGAACACCCGGAAATAACCAAAAAAATAAAAATATTACCGGTTATAAAAATCAATAATTTCAATTAAAAAGTTATAATAATTATTTATTAACACAAACATCTGATAAGATACTGAAACAAGTAAGTCAAATCGACGTATCTAAATTCTTTGACATCTAATCTTTAATAAGTAGTAAATAAAAGCAAAAATGCAAGAAAAAAAAAATATATTGTCTTTTTCGATAAATCGCAATAGTGTCACTGTTAATTTAAGTTCTGCCACAATTTCCATCTAGATTTACTACCTTTATACAACTATCAGGAGTAGAATCTATACTAATATATAAAATCCTTAAGTGACTGACATACTGATTAATCACGATGCTGCTCAAACCACTCAACATAAGAAGCTCAATTTTGGCATACAGGTTGATTCTAGGGTGTAGAGGTTCGATAAGAAAATATTTTTCGAAATTCCAGTTCCAAGAGGGTGAAACCACCCTTCAAATATTACAATATTTTTTATTTAAAAAACCGTCAAGTTTCTGAAAAAACGCTTAAATACGTATATTTTATTTTGATTTTTTACATATTTTATGATTTTTTTAAAAATGTATACAGGGTGTTTCGAAAAATCTGGTCACTGATTAATCACGATCCTGCTTAAAGCGCTTGACGTAAAAAGCTGATTTTTGGAAAACTGACTGACTTTAGGTTTCGGAAAAACTCTTAAACACGTATATTTTATTTTGTTGTTTTACATATTTTAAGATTTTTTATAAATTTATACAGTGTGTTTCATAAAATATGACCATTGAGTAATCACGATTCTGCTTAAACTGCTTGACGTTTAAAACTGATTTTTGGCAAACGGATTGACTGTGGGGTGTATAGGTTCGATAAGGAGGGGTTTCTCGAATCTCAAATTCCAAGAGGGTGAAGACGCCCCTCAAATATTACAATATTTGTTATTTAAAAAACGGTTAGTCTTTCGGGAAAACGCTTGGACAAGCATAATTTATTTGTTTTTTTAACATATTCTGAATTTTTTTAAAAAATCATACAGGGTGTTCCAAAAAGTTGGGTAATTTCTTAACCACGATTCTGCTTAAACTGCTTGACGTAAAAAGCTTATTTTTGGCAAACGGATTTTTCGAAAGTCAAATTCCAACGAGATGAAACTACCCCTCAAATATTACCAAGTTATATAATAATATCGCCATATTGTTTTTTCTCATGCTGACATAAATGTGAGAAAATTTTATCCAGTTTGTATGTTAATGGAAATTCTTGCTTTGCTTTATCATCACCATTACAAATGATTAATTCGACGCGAACGAAGTCGCTGGTACACGCTAGTAAATAATAAATAACATAAAATAAGCTCAGTAAAAGCTGACAAATCCACAAAATTTCAAATCAAATTCAAATGTGTCAAATAAATCGTCAAACAGAACTGTCAAAGATCCCCACCCTAGAGTCCTTTTTCCGCCCGCCATGCATGAATACATGGATAGCATTATACTCCTTTCTTAATCTTTTTATTCAAAGCGCCATACTAAAGTCACATATTATTATTAAGATTAATCAGTAAGACGGAGAAACTAAATAAAATATCGCCAAGATTTCAAGGAAAATTCTTATGCACACCTACCAAATGCTTATTTTGACGAACAAAAGGCGAATCCGGCATCTCATCATCCTCTTCGTCGTCCGATCTCATTTCGTCGTCGGGTTCTCTGCCTTCGTCCTCGTCGTCTTCGTCATCCGTATCTAAATTGTCTAAATTATCAGGGTTCTTAAAATTGGCGGTAATACTGTCCAGTGTTTCCTGAAACCAAAAACTCATATAAAAAAATACTTTACATCTTTTTGGAATATATTACTTGGAATGGCGTAGGACTGGTCTGTTCCAATCGTTCTAAAGGAGTCAGTTCGTCCAGTTTTGATTTCATCTTCCCTGGAGATTGCGTTGGCTGTTGCGCGGGTTTAGCCATAGGAAGCTGCAGTGCTTCCTTTGGAATGGTCTTTTGTTGTGGCAAGCCGGTCGCAGGTGGCTGTGGATTTGATTGTTGTTGCTGCGGGAGAGGCTGCAAAGGTTGCTTAACACCTTGGCTATTTACCTGTAACAAGTAGTGTTTTTGGTCATTCATTCCCGTGACATAAATGGTAGAATGGAATCACCGAAATAGGAAACAAAAGAATTGTGAACTATCAAAACGAGCTTAACCTTTCTAAATAAACCGTCCTAAAAAACTACAAGACATTCAAGTGAGATTATTACATATTTTTTTATTATTTTTTAGAGTTATTAAGTTAGAGTATTAACGCATTTTCACAAACCGTGCTGGCAACTGTTACTTTTGGGTCGGCATTTACATGTGTGGAAGTAAATCGCATAGGGATCTTATTAAGTCGGAGTGAGAGAAATGCGACCGACCGACGCGACGCGCGACGTTGTGCTGTTGCGGCGTTGCCAATACGCCTTTCCCTATCAAGTAAAGTAAAATCACGATCGCAAACCGCTTATTTTTAAAAGACTTTTTTTTCAAGAGATAACTAGATAAAATCATTAGACATGTTTCTGAGCATCTGAAATGGAATTATAAGGATATCGTTAGGGTGTCATTTTTTTTATAACGAGAAAATGTCAGTAATCGCGATAATTTAAAAACTCAACTTTTAACACATAACAGGCCATAAATTAAGAACCACTTTAGATATTGAAACTTTTTTATTTTTCAAGATCGGATATTTTACAATATGTTTACATAAGAAAAAATTCGATAAGGTTTTTTTCCATTCAAAAATTGTAAACAATCCATCCATTTACTTTTAGAGCATAGCAATTTTCAGCAATTGTGTAATTTTTTTATTGATAAAGATTTTCACATACTGTCTACAAAGGAAATACAGCAGAAATATTAACAAAGTTCTTGAAAAACTACAATCTATTATTTCTAATAGATTTCGAGATATCGATTTTTGAATTCATAATTCTAATAGCGCGACCACTATCGAACACCCACGCAATTCCACTTATTTTTACCAAAAATGCAAGTGTTTCTAGCTTGCACTTAAAAAAATTCAAGCTATAGGGAAAATTACAACGACTCGTTAATAAATAAACAAATTAAGTATCACGAGACGTAATTAAATCGTGAAACTGAACGCATGACGTACACCTTTCCCTAGAACTTTAAGTACTGACAGAGGTATTGATTGGGTCGACCGGTCAACTGTGACAAATCTGCTATATCCCCTTCCACGTCTCTTAGCGATGTGCACAGTTTCTCGGTTTATTGCATACGTTTGGCAATATTGTTTGCCAATACATTATCAACGCATTCTACTCTTCTTAAATACGGAAATCTCGACCCAAAACTAACCTTTGCCAGCCCTTAGTATAGTAACTGTATAGAGTATGAACGAAAAAATGACGTCCAGTTGGCTTGGAAATGACGATCGATGACATTCCCCATATAGTTTTACATATAATTTGATAGCGATCTTTATTTCATAGCCATCGCTCATGCCGTTTCTTTTTCGATCCTGTTTTTTTTTCGAAAAATTTTCAAAAACAAAAATATTTTAATTTAATTTATAATCAAATATCTTTAATTAAATATCTAGCCAACATTAGATTATAACAAAATAAACAACCTACAACTTGGCAACATTGTTCAGTGTCAGAGTTGATTAGTGGGACGTAGACGCTAGTTGATTCAATATAGGACCAATGAGAGAGTAAAATTAGTGCACGACATGAAAAATGCCATGTAGAATGAATTACAACTGGACAATAATAAGAGAACTGAAAGAGCAATTAAAATCAACTTACCCGCTGTATTGATATGTTCTTATTCAACTGTGAAATTCTTTTTTGTATTTCGTTCGCCGTATCCTCCGACTGTTGTTGCTGTGGCTGTGGCTGAGGCTGCTGCGGTTGCATTTGCGGCGGCTTCTCCGGCGACGGATGCAGATGCGGATGTTCATCCTCGCTACTACTACTAGGAAGATTAGCCGCATCTTTCACCTGCTTAGCAATATCAACGCCCATCTGGTAAGACTTAGGCCTGGTCGGCATGTTTTGTACTTTCTTAGTCACGCTCTGGATCTTCGAAACCAAATTAGGAACGTTCTTTTGCACGCTCTTCATATTAAATTTCGTCATGCCAAAGTTAAACGGAACTTGCGACGGATGCGACGGCGATTTCATTGGTCGGTTCTGCTTCATCATCGACATGGGAGCGTTGTTTTTAATCTGAGGCGGCATGTTAGGGGCTTTTCCTAGTTTGACGTGTTCGTTTTCTTCAGCTTTTCCTTTTACTTTTATGGCGGTCTTTATGGCTACGATCTTGCCGCTTTCCAGCTGCATGTAAACGCCCTTGGGGCTCTTGAGGACCAGTACTTTCTGGCCGGCTTTTAGAACTATGTTTCCTTTTTCGGGCTGGTTTGTAGGAATGACTACGTCGAGTGGGAGGGTCATTTCTTGGGCCGTCATGCCTTGACGTTGCCAGTGTTCTGCTGGGATCCATCTAGAAGGTCGCTCGCCTTGTTGCATCGGTCTTACAGAAGCAACCGGTCTGTGACCTGCAAATAAATATTAAATAGTTAAGACCCTGATCAAAGGGAAGACAATTAGAGTATATTCAAGTGTGTCAAAAAAATATTTTAAGTTTTTTTTTAATTGTAATAAACGGTATGTGGTAATTTCTTCTAAATGTTTCATGTCTTGATAATTAAATAAGTAAATATTATATATCAATTCAAGAAGAACCTAGTAATCTTAAAATAAAAAAAATATGCAGAAAGAATCTTTATAATTAAATTTAATGAAATGAATATACAGGGTGTTTCAAAAAACATGTGCCATCTCTCGTGGGAAGATTCCTTACGTAAAAATAAGATTTATTTTTCATATCAACATAGGTCCGATTCTGCTTTGTTTCGTTTTTTTTCGAGCTACAGAGGGTGTTAAAATCTTAATAATCTTTCAATTAATTATAATTTTCTTCCAAGTACTTTTAGTTTAGTGATACAAATGAAATTTTGAGAGTAAAAGTTACTTAAGTGCTACATAGTTTAATACTAAAAAAGTGTCGATAAATTCATCAGGGACGTGCATATGGGTTATTACTGGAATATTTTTCAAAAAAAAAATATATGCGCCACTGATTTTTTTTCTTTTGATATCAAAATTATGTAGGCCGTCTAATGCCAATTAAAAATTATCTCGTGATATTTTCTCGAATTCGGCCTCCTTCATGAGATAAACGCAATTTTATTAATCACAATAATTAATAACATTAAAATAAAAATTTTAATTAAAAATTTTTATATTTTACCTAATTTATTATTATAAATATTATTACTATTAGTTATTATTAGTATTAGTCCAACCTACAACAATTTCAAATAAAAAAATAATGCTATTTAAGATAATTACAAAAAACTAATTTTAAAAAATTTTAACATCCTGTAACTCTAAAACTATGCATACAGTACTCATTGATTAGGAATCAATGAGTACTTATTTAAAACTAAGGTTGGCTATTAGACTTTAAGGCAAATTAATAAAATTGCGTTTTTCATCAAGAAGGCCAAAATCGACAAAATATCGAGAGACAACTTTGAATCGGCATTAAACTGCTTACACTATTTCACTAACAAGAGAAAAAAAGTCAGTGGCGTACATGCTTTTTCAGAAAAATATTCCAGTGATATTCCAGTGCACGTCCCTGGTGAAAATGTCGACACTTTTGTAGGTTTAAAATATGTCACATTAATAGTAACTTTTCCCTCAAAATGTCATTCAAAATGCTAAAAGTACTTGGAAGAAAATTATAATAAATCGAAAAAATATTAAGACTTTAACACCCTGTAGCTACAAAATAATGCAGACTCGGACCTATGTTGATATAAGAAATAAATCTTATTTTTACGCGAGGAATCTCCCCACGAGAGATGGCACATGTTTTTTGAAACACCCTGTATACGGTCTCAGTTAACGAACTTTTTTTAATAAATAAGCGGAAACCTAGCATTTATATTTTTACATCTGGTTCTCGTAATATTATACAGATTGTTAACTGGACGGTTACTTATTGGGGAACAGAATGGCAACACTGCCTACTCCTTACTAAGCTAAGCTGCCGACTCGTCCCGTCGCGTCGTCTCTCGATGAGCGGGCCGAGGTTGCCATATTTCAACCATAAAGCTCTTACCGCGAGTAATAAACAAATTAACAACCTGTATACCTGAGTTAGACGCTAACTGCCTTCAACTATATCCGCAAATATTTTACAAATATTTTAAATCTTACTTACCTCTACCAGCACCCATAAGATACGACGGTTGCCTAGCGGCGTTCTTCTCCCTCTCGTATCCTTTCTTCGCCAGCCTTTTTTCCTGCGAGGAGAGCTGCTTCTCCTTGCGATCGACCAAAAGAGATTCATGTTGGAAGGGTTCCTTGTTGAGCGTCGTGCCGTGTCTGTCCAAGACTTTCTGCAGCACGACGTCTATGTAGTTGTCTTTGTACGAAGACCAGTCTTTTACTTCTCCCTCGTCGTATTTCTCGTCAAAACATAGAGTGCTGACGTCTTTAATTGTCAGGTGGGCGTCGGGGTTACATTCGTCCACCACACGATCGGACATACCTAGAAAGATATTATTGAACTGTAGAATAACAAGAAAGTAGAATACAGACTTAAAAAGTTTTAAATTGGTTACACAACTATACAGAATTTAAAAAAGTAAAAAATCCACTAAGAAATTTGTCTCAGTGCACTCTGAACCCAGCAGCTTTCTACATAACAGCGTGTCCCACAAAGAATAGCTCTTGGCTGTATCTCGGAAAGTATTAGCCCTAGGGCCAGCGGAAAAAAAAATATTTTTAACTAAAGAGGCTATGAAAAATTGCTGGAAATTATTTTCAAGTTTGTAGAACTGCCGGTAGAGGGCGCAACTGCTATAAAAATAAGAAAAAGGAGCTCAAAGTGTTATTAGATCAACATTTTGATAGTATTAGCAACATTTTTTCTCTTTTGAAGAAAGGCATTTTTAGAAAAGCAATCAAAATATAAAAAACGCTACTAAGACTACCAAAGTGTTTATATAATAATATTTTTATGTTTAAACTATCTCTTTCAAAGCAACTTTTTTCCAAAGCCTACCATGAATTCACTGAGGTGTCGTTTCTTGTTCACTGTCATTGATATCTTAACTATTAGATAATTAATACCCCTAGAGTATTATGGTATTCTGGTACGTTGTCGATTTTTTGAATAAAATAATCTTTTTTATCCTATTTTTATTGGAATGGCCATAATCAAGAGGGCTAGTAATACCGTTATAAAAAAATAAGGTAATTAAGGGCTTATTTTTTCGTATATTTATTATAATTTTGTTAATAACTTTGGTTTGAAAAGATATATTAAGATGCGGTTTTCGCTGACTTTTTAAGCTTTTATTACTCTTTAGTATCAGCTAAAATTACATATACTATCGCATTTAATTTTTTTAAAAAAATACGTAATGTTTGTTAGCTTATTATTATTATTATTATTTATACGGTATAATATAGAGTAAGAACCGCTCTTTTAAACGAGCCCCCGTTAGTTGGATTCCGTTCATAAAGTCCAGAGTTATTAATATTTAAATAAAAACAGATCTAACCTTCCCCCACCACTTTATTTTGGTAGATAGAGGAAAATGGTTCTAACAAAAAAGATTCTGAAGATCATGAAACTATTATTTATATTTATAGTACCCGTTATCTAGGCAAAATTGTGTTTAAACTTCTTTTTCTTATTTTTTATAGCAGTTCAGCACTCTAGCGGCCGTTCTACAAACTTGAAAATAATTTCCTGCAATTTTTCATGGTCTCTCTAGTTACAAATATTTTTTTCGCAAGCCTTACGACTAATTCTTTCTGAGATACACTGTACTTATTTTATTTTTTAAAGGTTTTAAATCGTTGAATTTCTTTAGAACATTCAGTTACCTTGTTTGCTGACTTGTCGGTCGTAGATCTTCTTCTCTAAACAATTATCCACGACCAACCTATAGACGAAACAAGGTTTTCTTTGACCGTATCTGTACACTCGACACACGGCTTGAGTGTCGTGGCAAGGGTTCCAGGACGCGTCCAAAACGACAACCCTATTGGCACCAATTAAATTAATACCCAGCGACCCAGCTCTGGTCGATACCAAAAACACGTGGATTTTTGGATTGGAATTAAACTCGTTAATGAGTTTTTCTCGTTCTTGAGCACCAGTAGAACCGTCCAAACCTAAAAAATTAAATATATTTAGAGAAAAAATAAATCTAAAAATACTAATCGATTCTTACGATAATAGCTGACATTTTTCGCCCATCTGTACGTTTCTCCAGGTACCTCACTGGCATGAAGAAATTGTTCTATTAAATCTAGGGTTATAAGGGACTGGCTAAATACAAGAAGTCTATCACCTAACGCTATACTTTCTTTAATTATGCAAAACAGTATTTGCATTTTGGCAGAATTTTCGATTTTTCCTGGTACATAATCTTTAAGCAATTCAAGGGCCTAAAAAAGAAAATTGAATCGTGAAAATATCGAAATTAGAAAAATATTAATAAATAAGTTAATGACATTAACAACTATAACAAGACAATGCTATATTTTTTGTATAATTAAATAATATATTAGTGAAAAAAAGGCAAGATTTTACTCAAGCCAAGTTTTTGCAACTGTGCAAACTAACGATTTATGTTTACATTTTACGATTCAGTGGGGCAATTTGACTTGCATAAGCCAATTTTCACAAATTATCTGAGTCTAAAATGCCCTTATCCCCGAAATGTTTTACGAAATATTTCTGTAAATATTTCGTAAAACATTTCGCAAAACATTTCTGGAAATACTTTCAGAAGTAAACTCAAATATAAACCGTGTTATAAAAATTAGTTCAAACGTTTCCTGAAATAGATCGAGACGCGCCGTGATTGGTTAATACAATATTAATTATTATTAAATAATTATAATAAAAAACAAACAATCACGGCACATCTCGATCTATTTCAGGAAACGTGGGAACTAATTTATATAACATGGGCTTATATTTATCATACTATTATGTGAAATAGCACAAAGCAATCAAAGTCAAACGTTGTGGTGGCTTCAGAAAAATAAGTAAACATGGAGTATGAATAAATATCATTAATTTGTAATGGAGTGTAATGTAATACCACTATATTAAACTGACATGAAAAATCAAAAACAGTGCATCTAGAAAACAGTTACCGATATGGTAGATTAAATTGGCTATTCAAGGTTACAGAAGAATATTTAGTTTTAATCATTGTCTAACATTATTAATTGCAATATAGTAAAAAATATATTTCCAAAACTTAAAAAAAAACTGCAGGGCAATAAGCAGTGACTAACTGTTCTGGCGGTCCGCCTTTTATAGGTTATAATCCATGGTGTATGTAACTATTTAAAAAATCGTCTAATTATTTCTTACTTTTGAATGGATTTGCATCAAACCATGTTATTATTATATATAAAAGTATCTTTTATTGACATCGAGTCAATCAATAATTTTATATACTAATTCATTATAATAAAATGAAATAATAAAAATATTGTAATTATATTCCTGCAGATTGAGTGAAAAGTTTTGTTCTTAAACATCTATGCTACATATCGTCAGTGAAACGTGATAACCTGCTAACTCCATTTTTTACGTTACTAAGTTTTTTTATACTATTAGAAAGAGAAAAAAAACTCTATAAGTAGGGAAAGCAAATACATTTTTCCCATTAAAGAAAATTTGCTATTTAAACTCAATAAAATCTGCTAACTCCCAGTGATCTGAAATAGCCACCGAAATTCTGCTATCTCGGTAATTTCCGTGACGATCACGCTAAAGCAAACACACAGATTCTTACTTGTCTGTTTCTTTAGTACAATACGTCGATCCAGGGTCACACTATGCCAAAGGGGCCCGGGTGGCAATGTAAGGAGGAGCCGTATGTATTTTTTACGTATTTTTTCGCCCTACGTTTTGGTCAATTTTTCCCTATTATATACAGGGTGAGTCTTAAATAAGTGCAAATATTTTTAGGAGTAGTATATTTCGACCCAAGAAACACGATTATGAGGTTTTTTGGGTGAATTTTTTTTTAAAAATTTGAAAATCAAAATTATAGCAAAAAATTGGAAATTTTAAAAGTGAAATAACTCGGTTGTTTAGGATTTATTTGAAAAAAAAAACGGTAAAGAGAAAATATTCTCTAAAAAGAAAATTAGCCCTGAAAATATTTGCACTTATTTAAGACTCACCCTGTATACCAATGCAATGCAAATGCCATAATGCAATGCAAAAGCAAATATTGTTAAGAATAAATAATGAACTATAAAGGGGGCCCGCGAAGGCGGGTTAATAGTTATATAAATATATAATATGGCCAGTCAGACCCTGCGTCGACCCGCTTACATGTTCTGTAAATACGAGGTATCCGTAAAGGGTAAGGGGAAAATGAAATTCTCTTTATACGAGCTATTCATCGGCGTGTATAAATAGTTTAAATAATATCATTACGTACTTGTAGAAGAATTTCCATAATACCTAATCAGTTTTATTTTTTTCAACGTTTTTCCACATAAATGATACATAATTTCTATAAAAATTAAAAAAAAATAAGGAGAAAAGTAATAAAAATTTAATGTTCTGTTTTCCAAGCTCGGTCTATTACCGTTGTATAAAAATTAGGAGATAAGAATGGAAGGATTCTACCATATCTTCTAAGAATTACAAGTTTGATTTTTAAATTATTTTCATAATCATTAAGTCCAAAATGCTGCTACTTCAGTTCTTTAAAAATGCATTAAAAATTTATTCGTTTTTGGACTTGTATATGTTTTGCTTCTAGACCGACGATATTATAAATATATGGTTATAAATATCATATTTTTTAAATTTAATTGATTATTTCTAAATCTGTTTGGGTAATATTCAATTCCATTTACAAAATTTCAAACAATAAAGGTTGCTATCTCCAGAAGTATATTTTTATTTCTTATTTCTGCAAGACGAATATCTGCTATCTCCCTATTGTGTGTGAAAAAAATGATGTAACACGAAATATTGAGTTTTATTGTTCCCCAGTAAATAAAATTCTTATCTCTTTATCATATTAACGCATGAAAATACTTCCTACATGTGTACATATTCTTTTGTACCGTTTTTTTGTAGGGTTTTTTGCTCTTCTGTAAAATTAGGAATAATGGAGTTAGCAGTTTATCACGTTTCACCGACGATATTATAAACGCGTGTTCAAATATTAATCTTGTGGAACATATATCAACATAAAACAAGACGTAATTAACGAAATATCGTAACAATAGCTATTTTAGAAACGTCTAGGTTGATTTATTTCACTCAGATTTATGAAAAAGTCCTTTGCCTCGGGTAGAGATACCTCCACGTTTTGGAAATAGCTCACAACGAAACAAAATTGGACGAGGCAACAGAAAACGCCAAAAAAAATCCCCCCACGTCCTCACGAGTAGTTTTCAGGCGCTTTTAAGAATCGAAAGTAGGTCGACGCAAACCGAAGTGGGTCAAGACAACTGGAAATGCGACAAAGTTGGGCGACGAAACACGACCTTGACCCGCTTCGAAGATTTCTCCGCATAGTGTAGAGACTGTTTTACATGTTAAAGTATAAACCAGGCTTTTTTAGATATTTCAGTTCACATCAGGTACAAATTTATGCATTATGAACAAACTTAAAAAAGAGAAATACAAAAAATACTTACCCATTCATAAGGAATACCCCCGTCCTCTTTAGAATCCTTCATCGACAAAGCTGACAGTTTCGACAACGCGTTCTCTACCGGAGGTTTTAACTCTTCCTCTGTTTTCACCTCGCTTTTAACCTCACTCTTAATATTTTCTATCTCTTTCTTCACAGCAAACTTATCATCTTTGTCCTCCTCTTTCTTTGGCTCAATCTTAATGTCACTAATAATTTTAATCTTCTTTTCCGGTGTAAATACTGACGGCAATTTAATATCGCTAATAATATTAATTTTCGGTTTGGTTTCCATGCTAGAGTCGGACTTTTGAGAGCTAACGAGTGAATTCGGAGTAAGTAGTTTGGAATTACTGTCTTCTTTTTTAATCCAAGATTGATTCGTTATGCTATTAGGCATGTTTGGAGTGAAGGAATTTTGTTGATTGTTAAAGAAATTACCTGAAAGAAAAATGTTAAATATGGATTATACGAATAGAAAAAAAAAAATAGATACAAAATCTTAGTTGGGGGTTGGAACCTTTGGTGTAGATTAAAAAAAGTCAATGTATGTGTATACTTGTATTCATTTAAAACTTCCCAATATGGCGGACTTCAGTATGAGAGGCTTAAAAAAACGAAAATATCTAGACTGGAATCGACTGTAGTTCAAATCGTTGAAATTGATAATCTGTGGTAAATCTAATTGAACTCTGAGACTTGGCTGACAGTGACGTTAACGGCCCCTTTTTCTAAATATTTTCAGTATTTTTTGAGTTTCTATTCACAGATTCTACTTGATTTTGTTCTTTTATTTAAGCAGTACTAATTATATAGTTATCAATAATCTTTTCACTAATCAAGAACTGAGGAATAGCCTGGAAGATATTCAAAATGTGTAAAAAGCTTAAAAATGTATTAGAAAACATTGACTCGTCCACAAATTCGTGAAAATAAATTAGTCCAGATGTTTGTAAAAAAGTCTCTAATTATTTTGAAAAGTTTCTTCGAATCAGTAATTTTCAGGTTTGTACCTAATATGTATAAGATAATAAATAGATTAAAACTTATATTTCAGGAAACAGCGCGGGCATTAAAGATTGTTGTAAATCAGTTTTAAAATATAAAGAAGGTAATGTTGGTATAGGACCAAAGATCAAATAACACTTGAAATATATAATATGTACAATAAGTGTAAGTAGTTTTTATGAATCTCTTTGATATCTATTGCATTGTTTTTGTATTTTTTGAAACATATATTTTTTTACTTTACAGGATACACAAAGAATAATAGGAAATACAGTTACTCACTAAAAGCACTTAAGGTTTGTAATAGATGTAGTTAGAATATCAAACACCAAACCAAACCAAACATTGTTTTATTTTACCAGTATTCCTCACATTTGAAAGGAAAGTCGCTTCATAAATAAGCAGAAAGAGATCGTATAGTACACTCTATATTAATAATTCTCTTTTATCCTATACTTGTTAGTTGACGCATCAGTTACTAGGTATAAAATTTAGTACTGATTCCAAACCTATAGTTGTGGTTGTGACATATTCTGATGTGTTTCTGGCAATTTAAAATATGTTAATATTTAAACAAACATTTCTGGCTTTCCTGACAGAAGTGTGAACACAAATTTAATAAAGGTATAATGTGGATAATGTTCTGATTATTACAGTTTGCATGAATGACTATTTTTGTATGTTGTTATTTTTAATAAAGTGTATTTAATGAGTTTTTGAATATTTCATTTTTTCCTCAGAGGATTGTGTTCTAATCTTTATATATAAATTTTCGAAATTTATATCTACAAAATTTATTATCTTATAACTTTTTGCTAAAGACTTTGTAGATGATACAGTTTAACAGTATATAAAAGATCTTTCTAAATAAGATTTGAAAAATATATAGCTGTTTTTGCACACATATCAATTCAATTTGTGATTTAAAAGAAATGGGGTGATCTATCAACTATAACATGAAACCCATCATCCTATCTCCAAGTCTTCTATTAATTTCACTTATTAAACAACTATAATTATTCAATAATCTTGATAATTCTAGGAACTCTCGAATATTGTCAAAACATGAAAACAAAAATTCACTTCCTATAGTTCTTACGTCGCGTCTGTTTAACTGAGATATAAGAAACAGGGGAGTTAATATTCTCACTGAGAAAGTTTATAAAATACCTTTAAGTAAAATATCTTCCAATCTGCGGTAAAATACCTTTATTCTTATTTAAATAATTTCAATAAACTATGTTTTTATTTTAGATAACCACCTAATAACCTAACTTTAACGTCAACTTGACAATCCGAATGTTGTTAACAAAAGAGTAAATAAATTCTGAATACGCTAACGCCAACTTATTTTTCGTTAAAAAAAAATTACCAATTTTCGTAACTAGGTCGGCCATATTGAGGAACTTTTAAAAGAATTGTATTATATCTGCATTGCAGCATTTTTTTTTGAAAAAATTGTTTTGTGATATTTTTGTATATGGATGTTTTTTTTTAAATGTGTGTTATGTGTCAAATAAAAAAGAGATATCCACTCCCCTCTATACCATTCGTATATTCATCCTATCCATACAAAGAAAGTCCAGATTTAGTTTGTCCTGAAGATGCAAATAAATTTGGTAAAACGTCGACAAATTTAAAACAAAGGACTTCTGTTGAGTTTTTTTCGGTCCCCCAATTAAAAAAAAACAGTATAAGTTATACAAAATAATGACTGACATTATGATAAATGTCAAATAATAAACGACAATGTTGCTAAACATGGAGCCATGTGACCAACATGGCGATAATAAAATTCGGTTTAAACTAATTTTTGCAGCTGTAATCTAAATAAAATATCTGTTACAATCATTTGCTCAATAAAGTAAAATGAAGAGCAGCTCGGTATCTTAAATTATACAACAAATTTAAACATTTTTGCCAAAATTTCATTTAGTCAGGTTTATAGGTTTTAGTGTCAATTTCAATATGATTGATGACGACCATCCGAAAACGTTTTGCGATTCACAGATTTTTCACTTCATTTTTAAACACAATACAGTCTTCAGATTAAACAGAAAAAAAATATTCTAATAGTCTCTTATCTTTAGGGAGTTAGTACCGTTACAGAATAAAGAGATACACGCGAAGAAAGAGAGCGCGCACATATACTGGGTGGCGCACCTCATTCGCCTCGGTTGATTATACGAAAAAGAAAAGATGTAGAAACGAAACATTTTATGAGTATATGTGGGAAGGCAATGTGCACAATTTAAAATTATTTTGAAATGTACAGGGTGTTTCAGAACTAAGATCCATACCAAAGTTGTATTTTTTCTTACGGAACACCTTGTATTTTATTTCATTTTTGGATTCTTGTGCCCAAAAAAATGTATTTATTATAAGGGTTAAATATGTTTAAAATCTTTGGTGTTTGAGATATTTAAAGATATTTGAAAATGCATGCTACAATAGAATAGATTATTAATACCCTGTACATTGCTTTTCAGAATTAATTCTTGTGCTGACTTGTAAACAAGAGAAATAAACTTTACTAAAAAAATTAATTGCTTTGTTTAATGTATACAGGGGTATCAAAAATTGCTGGTCTAATTTAAATATTTATTTTACATAAAAACTTCGTTATTTCAAATACAACATCCTGTATTTTTTTTTAATAAATTGAAGCAGATTTAAATGCTCTTTCAAACTATATAAGGGTTTCCTATACCTATCTAGCTCAGATTTTGAATAAAGAGCCATTTTTCAATAAAATGGGAACCAAAATGGCTGATGTCAAGTTTCTAGTGACAGTTAATAGCTATTTTCAAAATCGAAATTAGTTTATGGACTTTATTTAAATGTATAGCAGTTTACTTTTATTTAATTTGCCTACAGTAGTTTAATAAATAATATTTATTAAATACGTATTTATTATTCTTTCAAGAAAAACGAAGTAGTTCTCTCATTTATTTTATGATCACTCGTAGATATATGGATTTTCTGTAAAAGAGCCAATTACGGCAAATTCATTTTCTTTACTTCCAACAACAGGTTTCTGCCTAATAGGTTTTTTATAAACCACACTACCATAGCTCTGCGAAATAGAAAAGTATTTTTTCAAGGAACGTTTATCAGGAAGATTCCTATTTGGATATCTTTGAGCATAGGCTCTTGAGGCGAAGAAACAATTTTCCTCACAAAATAAAATCACTAGTAACATATCCATTCGTTCCGCCAGCAGATACTGCTTTATTTTTCTTGATAAAATAATGGATAATGAAGTTTAATAAGTATTAAACTATTGTAGTTAAATTTAAGTAAACTGTTATAAATCTAAATAATAATGTCCACAAACTAATGTCGATTTTGAAAAGAGTTACTAGCTTTAACCAGAAAATTGCCATAGCGACACCAGCCATCTTGATTGCCATTTTATTGAAAAATCGCTTTTTATTCAAAATCTGAGCTAGATAGGTATAGGAAACCCTAATATATACTCTGTTTTTTTTCTCAGGTAAGATTTCGACAGACGATGACAAAAGAAAAGCAGATGACGTCCCATACCAATCTATTTATTTTACTAAAAAAAGTTTCTAATAATTTTTAAGTTAACTATGGATGGGTTTAAATATAAATTCGTCATGCGTCGTCACTTGTTGTTTTTAACCAGTTTTATTATTTTATTTCAAAAATGACAGATCGTATTTCAATTTTATTGGTTTGACGGAACGATGAACGACAAACGGACGCCGATGCGCATGAACTCGCCTTTAGATTTTTGACGTTTGTCAAAGTCTTGCCAAATTATAGGTTATAATGTTGTGACAACATTTGTCAAATACCCTGCGTTTTGGAAGATGATGCATTTTGATTCGTGTTATTACGTGTGTTTTGTGTCTTTTGAACTCAAGTGGAGGAAAAATCGAGCGAAAATTAACTGTAGAACCCAGAGCACAGTTTATGGTTAATACTCGCTGCCCAGGCAGAAAGTCTTATACAGATACACCAATAAAGTTACTATCAATAAAGGTCGTATATAGTCTGTGAAACGAATAACTTTGAATTTGACAGTTCCCGCGGGCTTTTCTAGTGTTAATTTTATTAGGTTAGCAACTTGTTGCCATGCTGACGCAATGTCGTCACTAATAGAACAGCCTCGGAACGAGATTTATGACGTCACGCTAGTTAGAATAAATAAATATATATCGTAGGCGTACAGCGAAAATCCACTAAGTCACATTTTTGGTTGAATTGGATTAAACACACCACTATGTCCAGTTTTTCACGGTCTTTAACATGAAAAACCCATTAAGTCCAATTTCGGCATCCTTATATTATATTATAAGGATTTTTGGATTATATTCGACACTATTTTTTTCATATGACACAACACTGATGAAGGCTATAATGTTAGCCGAAACGTTTTTTTTAAACAAAAAATGAAAAACCAAATGAAAACTTAATCAGCGTTTTTCCCGAACCTAAATCCCAAGAAAATCAAAAATTTTAGAACAGTTTTACATATAAAATGACAGCGATTTTTATTTCATAGCCATCGCTGACGCCTTTTTTTCTATGATATTGTATTGTTTGCAAATATAATTTTTCGAACATTGATACTTGCAAAATATGCATAAAAATTTTGTGAATGTAAATTAATACAGCACTATTAGTAGATATTGAATGTTTTTTGTTAAATTAGATCGATTTTCAAACCCCCAAATTTAAAGTATATTTTACATTTTACCCATTATCTTATGTATCTATTCATTATTTGTATATCGTAAAACATTTGCTGCATTTGTATGGTTCATAGTTTATTTGCCAAAGTTATTTATTACTATAAATAGGTATATATATTGTATTTATTAACTGTGTATTATGTATATTTCATGTAAACTATATCATTTTTAAAATACAAACCAAAAATACGAGGAATAATTATGTTTTCCATGTATTCTACAACATATTTATTAATCCGTAGTATCTAACTAGCGTGACGTCATAAATCTCGCTCCGAGGCTGTTCTATTATAGACGCCATTGGTCTGATATTTAGAAATGTCAAAAGCTAATGACATTTTACTTTTGACAATTATGTCATTTCGTGTTGATTTTTGCACGAAGAGGAAAAATTGTCACTTGTTTTATTATTTTCCTTTTCTATTTCACGAAAGTAAAAAGAGTTACCTATCTGATTCGTTCAGGCCAAAGTCCAGGCACTCATAATGAATATCAGTAACTTTTTTGATAGAGAGATTTTATATTTGCCATGTTGGTAAAAAATAACGGTCAAAATTCAAAGTTATTCATTTTATAGACTATACCATCTCGTCGTTGATAAGTGCATCTCGAATATAGTCGAAGGACCATACTAAACACATACTAAAAACTGGAGTAGCTGTAAAATATCGACATCACACGATAGGTAAATAATGGATTTTAGTACTGCAGAAAAATAATGTCAAAAGGTACTGGTTTAAAAAAAATTAAGATTAAAGTTAATTAATCAACCTGTGAGGTATAAAATTTGGTAAGTGTTTTTCTTAATAAAATAGTTTGTTTTATTTATGTTGTTTTATTTATTCCTGCGGAATATTACAAATTTGTATTTGTACATAAGTTATATTGATAAATATAATCATAAATGCGGGAAGTTTCATAAAGCTTGAAAGTAAGAAATAGTTCTTTTTTATATTTTTTGGTATGTAGTGTCTTGTTTTTGTTTGCTTTGTATTAACACATACCGTTTTTTATTAAATAAAAAAACTCGAGTACATTTTTTCAGTTTTATACAGTTTTTTTCACAATATTTTGAAGTTACTTGTCAGTCAAATTTTAAATACATATATATTAATTTCCTGCTATGCGTTCCAGTTGTACCAACTTATTTCTTTGTAAAATAAAATAAACTACTTTAAAAAAATTAAAATGACAGACACATCTATCACTGTCAAGGATCTTCTCGTTGGACACACTATAGTTTGAAAGAGCATTTGAATCTGCTTCGATTTATTTGAAAAAATACAGGGTGTTGTATTTGAAATAACTAAGTTTTTATGTAAAATAAATATTTAAAATAGACCAGCAATTTTTGATACCCCTGTGTAGATTAAACAAAGGAATTAAATTTTTCAGTTAACACTTATAGAATTTAAAGAAAATAGAAAGGAGGAAACCTTTAAAGTGAAAAAAAAACCACTTTAAATATGCAAAATTAATTTTGTACCTGTTCTCAGATTTTATACATTTTCTAGTTAATATTCTACATTTCCTACGCATTTTTCTACATACACGTAGAAAATTTATTTTCTACGCGTCGTTACCCAACCCTGATTATAAGAAAAAGTGCGTTTTAAGTTTCAAACAATTTTTTATTTATTATTGTCGATTATATTATTACTATTATCTTACTATTATAGATTATACTATTATTTTTGATGACGAGCACACAAACTTTTATTGATTTCTCTATAGATTTAATACTTATACAGTGTGATATTTGGAAATATGTCAAAAAAACTCTCAAATCCAACTAAAGTTATTTTCAATTTATTGTATTATTTGTACCATTATTTAAATAGTGTCATACACATATTGACTATATATTTTTTTGGTTAATCTAGAAATAAAACTTTAACTTCACTTACCTTGTTGGTTAAATGTCGGTTTCTTGTCCATCTCCCAGAAATTCTGATCGCGAAATCCATCCTGTAAATTAGGCGTGTCATAATTACCAAAAGTATTATTCTGCTGAACTGAAGGATGCGCTTGATTCTGACTGTTGAATTGCGGCGTAAAACTAGACTGGCTCGACTTAATTGTCGAGTTTACATCCATAACGCTGTTCGAAGGCGTCGGATTAGTCGTGACCGAAGAACTCTGGGTATTAGTCTGCGTTTTACTGCTCAAAGGCGTCAAGGAAATTCCAGATGGCAGATTTGGAAAAATCGGTTTCGGAGTGGTGTTTTGAACAGTAACCGTGCTCTGATTATCTAAATTCAGCAGACTCATCTGATTAGACGACGATTGTTGACTAAAGTTCGACTGGGGGTTAGGCGAGAAGGTAGTAACGTTTGTAGGGTTATTAGGGTTTTGTAGAAAACCTTGACTCTGCGGAGGCCCGAAGTTATTACTACTTTGCACTGAAGTATTTTGTTCCTGAGAATAATTACTCGCAGAGTTATTATAATTCGAAAAATGACTATTTTGCTCAAACGAATCGAAAGATCTTTGCGACGACATGTGATCACCAAAGAGCTGAGATATCCCTTCAAACGACGTCCTAGGCTGATTGAACTGGTCCATGTAAGGCCCGTAGTTCGAATCGCTAGTTTTGTGCGGGTTTGATACAGACGATGACGTGTTTCCGGTATTGAACTGTGACTGATTGGTCGTTGGGCCTGGAGTAGGCGCCATGGAGTTTGGAGCAGTACTAGGTGGTTGCATGGGGTTTAAAGAGGCGTCCGAGTTATAGGGAGTGATAGAGGCTGCTGGTTTGCCGTTTTTTCCTTTGGCGGGAGGTTTTCTCGGTTTTGGTGGGGGTTTCTTCGCTTTCGCTTCTGTTGTGGTGGACACACCTGAAATTTATTGATTAGTATACCAAAAATGTTGTATTTCAGATTTATAGTTCAATTTAAAATAGTCACGTGGGTTTCTAAGCACTTTCAAACTTGTGTAGAAATATACCGATTTGGTCATCAAAACTGTGCGGTCTGGATTTTAACGTGTAAGACAGTGATGTAGACAACTTAATGGAAAATCAAATGTATTAAAAAGAGATAAAAACTGCGTCGTCACATTTCTTCTTTGCGGTATTGCCGGATTTTCCATTAAAATTTCAACCGGCACAAGTAGGCGTTTACGAAAAATGTTGCATCTAACATTATTTTTCACTACATGCAAATTTTTAAAATCTATACTAATATATATAAAATCCTTAAGTGACTGACATACTGATTAATCACGATCCTGCTCAAACCACTCAACGTAAGAAGCTCAGTTTTGGCATACAGATTGATTCTACGGTGTAAAGGTTCGATAAGAAAGGATTTTTCGAAATTCCAGTTCCAAGAGGGTGAAACTCCTCAAATATTACAATATTTTTTATTTAAAAAACGGCCAAGTTTCCGAAAAAACGCTTAAACACGTATATTTTATTTTGTTTTTTACATATTTTAAGATTTTTTAAAAATGTATACAGGGTGTTTCGAAAAATCTGGTCATTGATTAATCACGATCCTGCTTAAAGCGCTTGACGTAAAAAGCTGATTTTTGGAAAACAGATTGACTTTAGGGTGTAGAGGTTCGATAAGAAGGGATTTTTCGAAACTCGAATTCTAAGGGGGTGAAACTATCCCACAAATATTAAAATATTTTTTATTTAAAAACCGAGTTTTTCGGAAAAACTCTTAAACACGTATATTTTATTTTGTTGTTTTACATATTTTAAGATTTTTATAAATTTATACAGGGTGTTTCAAAAAATATGACCATTGAGTAATCACGATTCTGCTTAAACTGCTTGACGTTTAAAGCTGATTTTTGGCAAACGGATTGACTGTGGGGTGTAGAGGTTCGATAAGGAGGGGTTTCTCGAATCTCAAATTCCAAGAAGGTGAAAACGCCCCTCAAATATTACAATATTTGTTATTTAAAAAACGGTTAGTCTTTCGGGAAAACGCTTGGACAAGCATAATTTATTTGTTTTTTTTGCATATTCTGAATTTTTTTAAAAAATCATACAGGGTGTTCCAAAAAGTTGGGTAATTTCTTAACCACGATTCTGCTTAAATTGCTTGACGTAAAAAGCTTATTTTTGGCAAACGGATATTTCGAAAGTCAAATTCCAACGAGATGAAACTACCCCTCAAATATTACTAAGTTATATAATAATATCACCATATTGTTTTTTCTCATACTAACATAAATGTGAGAAAATTTTATCCAGTTGTATGTTAATGGAAATTCTTACTTTGCTTTATCATCACCATTACAAATGATTAATTCGACGCGAACGAAGTCGCTGGTACACGCTAGTAGCTTATATTTTTCTACACACATTTTCGTACAAACGTAAAAAAACGGCAACACTATGCCGCTTTTGATTTTGTTTCTCTGTTTGTCAACAGGTCATTTATATTATTCTCTGCCACACGCATTAAAATCCAGACCACATAAGTTGGATGACCAGCAGGGTATACTTTAACCCTTCATAAAAAAAGATTCTATATAGAAGGTGCCAAAATCCAGGGGGTTACATTGGGTTCTCGGAAACTATAATAAAAATCAAACTGAAAGAGAAAAGGTTCCCATCTTTGTGTCCAATAAAATGACGTTTTGAAAAAAAAATTGAAATATTCTAAAATAAAAGCCACTTCATCATTGTCACTTTTTTCTTTGTATTAAGACGGTTCTATTAAATGTAAAATTCTGTTTCTGCAATATTTGTTTTCTCTTCAATATTATTTTTTTAAAGTGTTCAAAATTAGTGTTGTTCAAAATTTTATAATGTGTTCAAAATAGTTATTACTTCAAAAGTAATTTTTTTTTCAAAGCCGCAATAACTTCACTGAGGCGTCGTTTCTTGTTCACTGTTGTTGGCATGTGTTAGATATTATTAGGCATTATTAGATTTCCGATTCAAATACATCTGGCATTATGGTATTCTTTATAAAAAATAAAGTAGTTAGGGGCTTTTTTCCGATTTTATTTTAATATCTTCGGTTTGAAAAAAAAATTAAGATACGGTTTTCGCTGACTTTTTAAGTTTTTATTTCCTCTTTACTACCAGCTAAAATTACACATTATATTGCATTGCCTGTGAAACAGGAAGTGACCGAAAACAATTGAATACGTCAATCAATCCTAATTTATGTCATATACTAGCATACCAAATCTTGTTTTTTTATCTGAAAAAATAAAAAAGTTATAGGGGTGAGCCACTTTCGAGATGCATCCGGTATAATTACTTTAGAAAAGTAATCAGTATTATTAAAGATTCCATTTGATTAAATCATATACAAATATATATATGTATATATATGGCTTAAATATTAAAATTTAAAAAAAAAAATTAAAACAATTTTTGGCTTTAGAACCCTCATGAATAATAAAAACCTTAAAGAACTATATTTCATGTCAATTAAACTTTTAATTACGTAATCGAGGGCGTGATTTTTAAATTCATTGTTGCCAACCATGAACATATTCGGCACCGTACTGACTAAGTGGAATTTAAATTTCCCGCTAGGGATTCAGATGGTAGCTCTGCTGTAAAAATGTAAAGTTGCCATTTATTTATTTATTTCCTGACGTTGTCATTCGTTTTGACACTTTAGTTTTGTATTACGAGTTTTTGGTTTAAATGAATAGCGTTGATACTTTAAGCTTGACAATGTTTACTAGCAGACCTTGCAGTCGAACATTGTTCTTTTTAGAACCTCTTTTATTGCGAAGTGTACAAGATAACTTAATAGCCGTAAAAAAACTCATCAAAACTTTATTAGAATATTTTGAACGCGAAAGCGGTAGTAATGGCTCTTTATTTAAGTGCTGTTTTGTTGATGTAAATAATAACTGTTTATACATTTGTAATTAATTTATTTTTGTTTCCTAAATAAAATATATAAAAGTGGGCAACGCTGTGCCGGTCAAGCTTAATCACGTGACTAAAAGTTTATTTGCTATAAACTGTAAAAACGCTTTACTTACCACTGACTGTACTAGCGACTTCCTCCAAATCCAAATCCACCGCATCACCCTTGGCTCTCTTCACCAAGAAATTGTACAACACGTCCGGATGATTCCAGATCTTACAACAGACAGCAAAAGCCTTCAGCGGGTTCGGCACCGTTTGCTTCCGCACCACCTCGTTCATAAACGTCTCGTACAGTTTCCTTTGGAACGGCGTCATCCTCACCAACAAGACGTACTCTTCTTTCTGAGGCAAGACGGTTTGAAGGACGGTATGAGACCGTCTCTGAACGAAACCGACCAGCAAGGAATGGAGCACGTGCGCTCGGTAGCGCATCAACTTGATGTCGGCCTCCGTCGAATCTATGCACTGGCCGTTCATGATCGGACGTTCGAACATGTTTAAGAATTCGGTTTTGGTACCTGAAATTATAAATATATAAAGGGTTAATCTACTATGCCCACTTGTTCACTGTATGTCATAACATAACGCTATTCGAAGGCGTCGGATTAGTCGTGACCGAAGAACTCTGGGTATTAGTCTGCGTTTTACTGCTCAAAGGCGTCAAGGAAATACCAGATGGCAGATTCGGAAAAATCGGTTTCGGAGTGGTGTTTTGAACAGTAACCGTGCTCTGATTATCTAAATTCAGCAGACTCATCTGATTAGACGACGATTGTTGACTAAAGTTCGACTGGGGGTTGGGCGAGTCCCTTTGAATAAGAAGACTAAGGAAGGAGCATAATGCTATCCATGTATTCATGCATGGTGGGCGGAAAAGCCACCATAAAAGCTCTCTAGGGTGGGGATCCTTAACAGTTCTGTTTGACGATTCATTTGACACATTTGAATTTGATTTGAAATTTTGTGGATTTGTCAGTCTTTACGGAGCTTATTTTATGTTATTTATTATTTATTCTACTACTGATAGTTGTATAAAGGTAGTAAATCTAGATGGAAATTGTGGCAGAACTTAAATTAACAGTGACACTATCGCGATTTATCGAAAAAGACTCTAAAATAGTTGGTTGTGTAGCGTGCGGTAGATCTCGGCAAAAATTGAGTGAAATAATGGAACAAGTTTTCGCTAGTAAGTGACTATATAATATACATACGTGTAGTAAACCGATCATTTATGAAATTCACTTAAATTAACTAAATTATATATTTTTTCTTGCATTTTAGCTTTTATTTATTACTTGTCAAAGATTAGATGTCAAAGAATTTACATACGTTAATTTGACTTACCTGCTTCAGTAGCGTATCGGATGTTTGTGTTAATAAATACTTATTATAACTTATCTATTTTTATTAGAATTATATATTTTTATAACAATTTTAATAACTACCAACATTTATTCACAACGTAAAATAAAACAACAAATTATTGAGTCTACCCCACGTCTACCCTATATCATAGTTTTACATTTTTTAAATAAAATTAGAACGGCACTGATAAACCGGAATTTAAAGTCGGCCATATTTGAGGCCCATCGCGGTGTACCTAAGATTTTTGATATGCTCCTTCCTTAGTCTTCTTATTCAAAGGTATGTCCTAATATATGTACATGGTGATTCAAAAAATATATGCCATCTCCCGTGGGAGATTCCTCACGTAAAAATAAGATTTTTTTTATATCAACAACAGGTCCGATTCTGCTTTGTTTCGTAGCAACAGTGGGTTAAATTCTTCATTTTTTTATTTCGATTTATTATAACTTTCTTCCAAGAACTTTTAGCGATTCGAATGAAATTTTGAGGGTAAAATTTACCATCACTGCGACATATTTTAATGCTAAAAAAGTGTCGACAGGTTCGCCAAGGACGTGCATATGGAATATTTTTTCTAAAAAAAACATGCGCACCACTGACTATTTTTTATTTTGTTAGCAAATTTGTATAGGCCGTTTAATGCCGATTAAAAATTGTATCTTGATATTTTGTCTATTTCGATCTCCTTGAAGTTATAAATGCAATTTTATTAATAACAATGATAACAAAATTAAAATAAAATTAATAAATTATTTATTGAATCTAATTTATTATTAAATTTTGAACACTTTTGAACAATTTTTTAAGACTGACGTTAAGTACTACCTGCAGCGAATTAAAAAAAATGGTATTTAAGATAATTACAAAATAACTACCGTTTTAAAAGCTTTAACATCCTGTAACTTTAAAAGTATGCATTTCCGAGGAGTCATGAGGAATCAATGAGTACTTATTTGACCATTTAATGACATTTAAATTTTTAGAAGTAGCTATTAGACTTGATTTAAGGCAAATTAATAAAATTGCGTTTATCTCATGAATGAGACGGAAATCGACAGAGTATCAAAAAACAACTTTTAATCGGCATTAAACGGCCTACATAACTGTACTAGTCAGTGGCGTACAGTAAAAATATTCGCGATAACCCATATACACGTCCCTGATGAATCTATCAACACTTTTTTAGCATTAAAATATGTAACACAAATAGTAACTTATATGCTGAAAATTCCCTTGGAATCCCTCGAAACCCTTGGAAGGAAATTATAATAAATTGAAAAAAAAAAGACTTTAACCTCTTGAAACTATGAAGTATAGCAGAATCGGACCTACGCTAATATAAAAAAAAAAAACTTATTTTTACGTGAGGAATCTCCCCACGAGAGATGGCACATGATTTTTGAAACACCCTGTATTTACACAATATGCGGAGAACAGTTAGCACACATTTTAAAAATGTATTTTTTTCAAACGCCACAAAAGTGTTAATTTTTGCGACGTGATTGACAATATAAAAACGTCATTTTAACGCCTAGGCATAAAAGTACGAAAACATTATTAAACTGATATAAAGTGTCAAATTCAACGAGCGTAACCATATTTTCTCGAATATAATGACATACAAGGTACGACTTTTAAATATTTTTATATAATTTGGAACGTTTGAAATTGTTTAAAAAATTATTTGTGAATGTTTGGAAAAAATAGCATGTTCTAATCGGAGTAAAAATTACTTTTTGTGTCTTGGCTGTATGTCAAACGTACAATCAAACTCAATCAAACGTTCGCCACAAGAAGTGTCATTTTTACGCCTAATAAAACAATATAATATTTTCATAGTATACAGGGTAAATCCGACTTATTTTCAAACCAGTCATAGTTTTTAAATGGAATATTGTACTTTTTTCCATAAATCTGCTATAAAATCCCCATTCCAAAAATATTACGAGGAGGCCTCTCCTATAACTAAGAATCTTAAAAAATGAATCGGAATAACTGGAATATCACTCTGTGTCACAAGTATAAAAATATTCTTAAAATGTACCCTGTCCTTGCCAGCATCTTGTATAAAAATGGAATGGAAGTCTCAAATATTAAACGACATATGAAGATTTTTCTGAACACTGAAAGAAAAAAAGAGTACTTACCTAAATAATTTGGCCTTACAAAATCGACCATACACCAGTATTCTAATAAATTGTTCTGTAAAGGATAGCCGGTAAGAACCACTCTTCTCTTAGTTCTCAGTTGTTTCAGAGCAGCTGAAATGGAGGCATGAGAGTTCTTGATACGATGGCCTTCGTCACAAATCACCAAATCTGGACCAGGATTTACCAGAGCAGAGTAGATTTCTAAAATTTCAAATTAATTTTCAGCAAAAATTCTAGCTAAGTAGCAGGTTTTGTTCAAGCTATTGTCAATCAGAATTGAAGGCTACACGGGAAAAACTTGATAAGCGCCAATTTCTTAATTTTAGGATTTTACAATATTATAGGTCTAACTGGTCTTGACAAAATATACCAAGGGCTGGCAAAGGTTAGTTTTGGGTCGAGATTTCCATATGTAAGGAGAGTACAATGTATTTATAATGTACTGAACAAAGAGAGAACAGTAAAAACGTTGCCAAACGTATGAAATAAACCGAGAAACTGTGCATGTTGCTAAAAGACGTGAAGGGGCAGATTCGTCGCGGTCGACCTAATCAGTACTTAAAATTGTACAAAAGGGTGTACATCGTGCGTTCAGCTTCACGATTTAATTACGTCTGGTGATATTATATTAGTTTATTTATTAACGAGTCGTTGTAATTTTCCCTATAACTTGTAAATTTTTAAGTGCAAGTTAGAAACACTTGCACTTTTGGTAAAAATAAGTGAAATTGAGTTGGTGTTCGACAGTGGTCGCGCTATTAAAACTCGATATCTCGAAATCCATTAGAAATAATTGATTGTAGTTTTTTCAAAGTTTTTTTAATATTTCTGCTATATTTTATTCGCAGACAGTATGCAAAATCTATGTATGTGAAAATCTTTATAAATATAAAGTTGAATGGGTTTTTAAAATTTTTGAATGAAAAAAAAGACTATCGATTTTTTCTTATTTAAACATCTTGTAAAAGATCCAAACTTCAAAATAAAAAAGTTTCAATATCTAAAGTGGTTATTGAGTTATCGTGTTATGTTTAAAGTTAAAAAGTTGACTTTTTAAATTATCGCGATTACTGACGTTTTCTCGTTATAAAAAAATGGACACCCTAACGATATCCTTATAATTCCATTTCAGACTCTGAGAAACATATCTAATGATTTTATCTAGTTATCTGTTCGAAAAGTTTGAAAAATAAGCGATTTATGATCGTGATTTTACTTTACTGGATATGGAAAGACGTACCCGAGATTTGTCGCAACAGCACACCGTCGCATTTCTCTCACTCTGACTCAATTGCTGTCCTCCTTTCACGCAGTTGAGCAGCTCTGAACTGTTCAAGAACGCGATACACTCACTCCATTCAATTGAGTCATAAAGTTCCAGAACTGTTCCGTGCCATATGGAGGCACCAGGCTATCGCGCACTGTTCCTTTCAGAACCGTTCTCGAGTAGCCCCAGGGCGTGAAGCCCGGAACTCGAAGTTCGCGAATGGAGGACAGCAAATAAAATCCCTATGCGATTTACTTCCACACATGTAAATACCGACCCAAAAGTAAGAGTTGCCAGCACGGTATATAGTTTTCTTATCTTTATTTAATACTTACCATCAAAAATTGGTTTGTTTTTGTCATCGTCATGAATTTCAGGCATTGGCGTGGCCTTTTTCCTGGTTTTCGGATTCTTCTTCATACTAAGCAATCTAAATTGCTCATAACCTATTAACAAGACGCCACCCCTGGCTCGCCACGCGTGTATCACTTTGTGCCTGGCTATTAAAGTTTTGTGGATGTCGTTCAAAACGTGAATGTTAAAATTTCGCGGTCTCACTTCTCCATGTGCATTTAAAGGACTATTAGGCGCTGCCTATAAAAAAAATAAGAAAACTCATCACTAAGATAGTAAGTAAAATATAGTTAATTGTATATATTGTAAAATAAAATACACATAAAGAATTGTATTCTGTTTCTTATTGTATTTGTGACTTATTTTATATAATTTTATAATATAAACTTAAGACACATACCTCTTCAAGTGGAATCCACATATTGTATTCAGCCATCCAATTTTGTAAGGTGTTAATAGGCATGATGCACAGGATAGTTTTGGCAGGTGTGTATCTCAAAAATATATCTGAGAATGTAACAATCTGTAAGGTTTTGCCTAAGCCCATGGAATGGGCTAGAATACAGCCAAAACCTGTGGAACTGTCAAATCTGAAACAATTTTATGATTGGGGTGAACATCATTTTCACAATTACTAGTATGCAGGGTTGATACACAGGGACAGGTTTTTTATTTTTAAACAAAACGTGTTTAAATGGTTTTAAACGATTTTTGACTCCAAAGTTTAAAACCCTTATTTTAAACTGTAGATGGTATTCAAAATTAAGAAGTACCTCGATAAAGATAAGGCGATGAATGGTACAGAGCGAAAAATGGTATATGTTCAATCAACGTCAAAATTAATAGTACGAGAGCTAGCAACGTCGGAAAAACAAGTATTTTAAGACGTCTGGCTCTTTGATATATCTTTTACTATGCTCTTTAGAACAGCATGCGGCCCGTCTGGCTGCCGGCAAACGTTGCGTTCCCTACTGCGCATTGAAAGAAGATCCTATATTTCTATTAGTCCTTTAAATTCTAGTATTGAATATAAACCGACCGAGTCTCCATAGCTCAGCGCGTAGAGGTTTTGCCTATCAAGCGAGGAGTCAAGGTTCGAATCCGGGTCAGGGCAAAAACTTTTTTATTTTATTTTCGTTTATATTCTGATAGTAAAGTATTAAATATTTGTTTTTTTTTAATCACCAGAGTTATTTAATTACTTTACTATCAGAATATAAACGAAAATAAAATAAAAAAGTCTTTGCCCTGACCCGGATTCGAACTCTGAATCCTCGGTTTGTAGTCGGAAACTCTACCCACTGCGCTATGGAGACATGTTCGATTTATATTCAATACTAGAATTTATAAGACTAAATTAAAAAAAATATAGGATCTTCTTCCGATGCGCAGTAGTGAACGCAACGGTTATCGGCAGCCAGACGGGCCGCATGCTGTTCCAGGGAGCATAGTAAAAGATATATCAAAGAGCCAGACGTCTTAAAATACTTTCTCGAAAACGTTGCTAGCTCTTAGACTATAAGGTTTAACAACTTCCAAACGTTTTTCTAATTTAATGACATTTAAGGTTGATTCCCACTTGCGCTACGCTCGGCTCGACAATTACACTGCAAATTGCTGCTAGAGGAAGATAAGTATGGCTCTAAATCATTTTTTAGTCAAAATCAAAAGACGCAATTAGAATTTGCAGTGAATGACAGAAAAATTTGATTATAAACTATGTGCATAACTTTGACTGCGAATAACTTAAAGGAATGTTTTTATGGAAAAAACCAAAAAGTCCTTTTTTGTAAAGCGGAAAATTTTGTATTAGAATGTCTTTGTCGAAGCTGTAGGTTCATTTGCTTTGGAGATAAAAAATTAAATGCAAAAGGTTAGAAAATCCCATTTAAATAGGAAAAGTATCATGATTCCGGCATGATTTAAATTAAAAATTAAGAGCTTGTTTACGTTGGATAATTGTTTTAGAGCAAAAACTAAAATTTCAGGGGGCGGCAGCAAAAAAAAATCAACTTGGGAAATAACGGACACCCTAATGTTCATAGGCATGTTATATGCAACTAGCTGGATATATACTAAACAGTATTTTGTGCACCGTCTTTATGAAATCCTTATTATTTATTCTCTGTTAGTATGTTGCCGAACAGATACACTATACGACTGGACGATTTTCGCGATTGCATAGGTTCTATAAGATATATTAACATCATGTTGCCAAAATGCAACAATATGCATTTAAGGGTTAACATTTACATACCTATTAATGCTCTCCACTATGTTGTCATATAAGAACCGAACTCCACCGATCTGGTGAGGTTTGATGATTCGTCCGATCTGCGGCGCCACAAAGACGTCAGGCTCGTCTTCAGCATGGCCAACATTGACCAGAACCCGACCCTGCTCATCCGGCTGGTTGAATTCGTCGTTCGTGTGCATCCCCGAGTTGCTAGGATCGTCGGATTCTTCGTCGTCTTGGCTTTCAGACTCGGACACGACAATGCAGTCGTCGTCGGAGGATACCTCGATGGTGTCGGTCGATTTACCTTTAAAAAATGTGTTGTATAACTTCTTCACACGCCCATTTTTTGTTTTTCTTGAATATACAATAATTTTATTAGTTGGTTTTTCAGGAATATCGGTGTCAATAGAAACTTGATGACTTTTACTTCAATAGTAAGTTTCCTATTCAATCAAAATTATAACACATTTTAACAGATTCAAATGTTATACACTATGTCCCCGGATTGTCTTTACAAGAGGAAAAAAACTTTTTTATTATTGACATATTGAGAAAAATGTATTCTTCATAAAATGTTTTGTTTGTTCTAAAATGGTTAATCCCGTTTATACTATTCAATATTTCCATACCGTTTTAGAGAAAATTAAGAAAATCATGAAAATATGGTTGAATTCCTAAAAATCAAAAGGCGTTTCTATGATTTCATTCTTTGAAAGATGGTTATCATAGACTAATGTCATGGACTAGAGATAGATTGGACACTGATATAAAACAAATAGGTCCGTCGTTTAGAGCCACCTGGTGATGAAACTAAGGGAGAGTTTTGGCATAACATAAATTTACCGTTACTTATTAACGCTAACTAAAACAGTAACGTTATTCAATTATTCCTTGTAAAATATAAAATAATACATTAAGACTTTTTTTACCACATTTTATGTTTTATTGGATCATTAGAAGTATAACATAGGCAACACAAAAATAAAATTATGAATACATACATTTTAAACACCAACAATAGAGCACATAGTGACTATTTTTTTGATTTAACAAATAAATTATAATATAGTAAAAATTATAAACTACTAATTAACTGTTAGTAAAAATATTATATTATTGTATTACCAACTATGTACTTACTTATTTATGATTAAATTATTTTTTTATTTGGTTGATAAATTTATTATTTCAAAAATGTCAAAATGTGTTTGGTAAAAAAGTTTAGTATCTATCACGAAAATGATGATGATCGACTGTAAATATCAAAATGCACAAACCAATAAAAATACAAATTACAAATCACTGAACTTTCTGACAACTCAGGAATATCTGAATTAATAATTATTTAAAAAACGATTTACATTTTGTCAACCAGACCAAAACTAGGCCATAGACGGTAGTCAACATAGAGGCTGTCATGTCATCTTCGTATATAAATTAGAAACCTGTATTTTAATGCCTTTAGCGTCGTCTGGCGATGCGGAAGAAACTACATTTGTAGGTCTATAAAATTACCATTGAGTGTCTACGGCCTGATGGTTATTATTAATATTGATTAACGTCATATTCTTTGCTGTTGTTAAAGTATCATATTTTCCGATAACTATCATCACCCTTTCCCTAAATAAATTTTGTGCTTCTTAACATATTAAAACAACAAAAATATTACGTTAATTAAAATTATATGAATAAAAATCTATCAAAGAATGAAAACTAAGTTATATTAGAAACACGTTTTGATTTTTAGGAATTCAATATTCAAATTCCATATTCTCATGTTTTCCTTAATTTTCTCAAAAACGGTGTGAAATTTTGAAAAATTATAAACGACATTAATCATTTTAGGACAAGCAAAATTTTTTTTGAAGAATGCATTTTTCTCAAAATATCAATAAAAAAGGTTTTCCTCTTGTAAAGATAATCCGAGAACAAACTGTATATATACAGGGTGAGTCTTCAATAAGTGCAAATTTTTTCAGGGCTGGTAGATTTCGATAAAAGAAACATATGTATAATTAACAATGTATATCCTACCTTTTGACTTAGCCATGCCATGATGAATTGGCTTGAGATCCTCACCCTCGCTATCACTGTCACTGTGAGGCTTAATATCCATAAAAGGTGGTCCCCTCTTTCCAACTGGGGCTATACTGACCGACGGTGGTAAATTAACACCTTTCCTACTCTGCGCCATGCCCCTAGGATAGCCTCTTGGAGCACCCAGTAGGTTTAGAGGACTATGAGGAAGAATTCTACCATGAGGTCCATCTGGTTTTGGCATCTGAAAATAGAAAAAATAATTAAAATTGAAAAAATGGCCAAAAATTTTGAACTAGAAGATTTACCTTAACAAGATCAAACGGGGGTCTTGGAACTTTGGTCATGGGTTTTGTTTGTCCATTTGGTAGTTTTACTAACACTGTGTTTCCTATTCTAGTTTGATTAGAGGTACCTAAATAATGACATGATGCATAAGCATGTAAAATTCTACATCAAGAAGTGTGTGGCAAAAGTTGTAAAACAAAAGTGTTAAATTATTATTATTAAATTTCCAAAATAAAGTTTAAAAATTAACTAGTGGGCAACCAGAATTGAATCAGCAGAATACATTCAGTATTAAAACCCTAGATCATATATACTTACGTGGATAAATCAACGCCATAAGTTTAGCATTAAAAAATATATATCCAACATCACGACATACCATTTTCAAACATTCTTTATTGCACTTATGAAACATTCAATAGGTTTGTCTTTGTCGAGGACCTGACTTTACGCATGCGCATTAAAAGTGGCACGTATTTCCAAAATAATTACAATTTTATCCGGTTTAGAAAGTACAAATTATACATTGTTATGGAAACCAACTTTTCATTGTCATAATCTTGTCATAATCATATGTCATAATGTTATTTCCATTGTGTAACGACGCTTGTTTTTTGCGTTTTTTATTTTAAACATTGTATTAATTACTCTTTTATCGATCGCTTTTATATAGCCAAGGATGCAAGTGTGTTCAGTGAGAAGTTAATTTTAAGTTTGTGCAATTATATTTCTATTTTTTACTCGTTGGGTTTTAATTTTTGGGTAAATACTCGTAAAAATGACAAGAAAGTGTTTAGTGTGTGGAAATTATAATATAAATGTCACCGAATTATCTTTTCACAGGCAAGTAAAGTATTCAGTTGTTCTTTTATGTATATTAAACCACATGCATACTTTCTGGTTAGATTTCCTAAGAATATTGATATTCGTATGGAGTGGCTAATTTATTTTTTATTTAATTTAATTTTTGTGACAGTAACATTCAATTATTGTTCAAATATATGCATTTTACAAATTGAATTTTTAAAATTAATGTTCAAATTTGACGCGTAGGCGATAGGTCCTCAAGGATAGATAGAGTAGACCGCGACATAGTTGCATCGCGTGTGCAACAGAAAAAGAAGATAAATGGAAGTCGTTGATATGTTCACAGATAAAAGAAAATAATCTACTATTAAGATAGATATGAAACTTAATAGTAAAATTTTGGATCAAAGCGCCCCTCCGTGTTTTTAGTGGAGACTACATTTAACCCAGCGCCTTCGCCTTTTCTGCTGTAAATGTTTTTTATGTTTATGTTTATATTCATAGGACTTATTTTTAAAGATATACACTGATATATTAGTATATCAGAGTAACTTTAATAAAACATAAGAATATATATATTTTACAATTTATTTTTTTATTTATTTTACAGAGTTTCATGTAAATGATCGTAAGTCGACTGACTGTCTAATGAATAGACCGAGATTTATAGATTTTAAAGCGAACGAAAAAATCAAACAACGAATACATACTATCCTTATACTATATATTTTTCTTTTATCTAAGATACATACCTTATCGTATTTTCGAAACACGTACATTTTTGCAGTTTTGTTAGTTTCTTTGCAAGATGCAACACAACAAGAAAACACCATTTTTACAGTTAATAAATAATAAAACTATTTCTGACTATGATATTTAAAATTTAGATAGATAGAAAATTAAAAAACAAACCAGTAGGTATTTGTAAACGCAGGTCCAAATTCAATAAAAATCAAAATTTTTCCTGCGAAAATCAGGCTTTTTTCACTGAAAAGGTATTTTTTGATTTATCAGCAGTCATTGTCAAGTTGACAATATACAGGGTGTTTTATGGTGTGATTCCTCATGTGTTCTTAAAACAATTTTTATATAACCATTAGGTCTCAAGTACTTCCTTTCAGATCTACAGGGTGTTAAAATTAAAAAAAAAATCGATTTTTTTGCTTAACATACATGGTGTGGTGTACCATTTGTTAAGCAAAAAAATCGATTTTTTTTAAATTTTAACACCCTGTAGATCTAAAAGGAAGTAGCTTTTTTAAAGAAAAAATATTTTTTTCTTGACTGGCCATCCTTTTTCAACAAAATTGATCTTTTGAGTTTTTCTTGTTCATCAAACGGTTGTCGAGAAAAAAAAAAATATACTTATTAAGAGCCCGCCGTAATTCATTTTCTAACGATTTTATATTTTTTAGATTAATTAGGAAACACCCTGTATATGCATATCACAGGCAACCAAATAAACTAGTAACCTCTAAAAATTATTTTTCCTACCGCTAGCGACATACCGTGTTTTTAGTGTGTACTAAATTATTTTATCAAAATTTCACCATATAAGTTTCCAGGCAATGGATATGTTTGGGACAGTTTCCATAGTGATTTACTTATCCACGTAAGCAAAGAATCATGTAAGTATATTATATGATCTAGGATTAAAACATATAAAAATGTAAACAGATGGCTTCTAATATTACCTGGTTTAGGAAAATTACTTCCTTGAAGCAAGGACATAACTCTCTGCTGCATCCTCTCCTGCTGAGCTTGCCTTTGATATTCCCTCAATAACCTTTGCTGTTCTTGCACCCTCCTCAATCTCTCAGCTTCCTGCCTCTGAGCAGCCAGCGTTGATTCATCTAATTTAGTCTCATCCATTACTTCCCGAATGTTACGACGTAAGTTTCCTTTACTCATCACTGTAACTTCATCTTCTCCTAAAAAAAGATAACAATCAAGAAAAAAAATTATGTGTGCACTATGTGTGCATATTTGAAGTAAAACTTCTTACTAACAGCTATTAAATTGAAGGATTTGGAGAACATGTTTGAAAAAGTGACATATAATGCTGTTTTATTTTCAATTAATATCTGTAATCTGTACATTTTCCGTTTCTTCAATAGCCTGCAAATTTTGTGGAATATGACCCAAAATACACACTTTTATACAAATCCCTAATAATGTTAAAGCTCAAATTTATTTAAAAAGAGAAAAAAATTTGAACCTAACCAATAATTTGTATTTATAGTGGTTTACAGTAATTTTTGTTAAATTATACGAATATTCTCGTTGATTATTGGTTTGAAACGATGTCCTCCAATGAAAATGCGAGTTGCTTAACTCTAATAATTCAAATGCTGAGCTAGCAAATGAGCTAAATGCTTTACCTAGACCATAGACTTAAAATAAAATATAGACTACACTATTTACATCTCAACGCGGACAAACAACCTTTTTTGTACACATGTTTACTTCTGGGTACAGTCGACCGAGCCTTCCTCATCCAGCCTATGTTGTCACGTCTTTAATATTATCAATATTTTTTTTCTTGTTATACACATATATTGAGATATTAATACTACAGTTTAATAAAGTAGGTTTTAATATTCCAGAGATGTATTAAATAGTCCTTATACTACTAAATTATAAGTCGGATACTGTTTAAAAAGGATAAGTTCTTTACAATATGACAACACCGATTAGAGGCGAGGGAGCCTATTCATTCATTTATTACCTTGTAGTACGTGTCGCACGTGTGCGGTAAAGCTTTGTTGCCGCTATCTCCCCGGCTGTATTAACGCATTTTCTTAGCTTGTAGTGCTTAAGTGTTTATTTTATTGACTTTTTCTGTTCAAGAACTATAAAATATGGTTCGCCAGTGCCAAATTTGCAAGAAATTTGACTTAAATAATCCATTTAAGTCTTGAAACGACTTTTGACCGGTAGGCAACTCTCAATTTACCCATTGGGAGTCAGTGGCGTTGTTGTAGAAAGGCGCTTATTTAGATAATATTTTAGTAAAATGTAAAATCTGAATTTTTTCTCTTACATTACATTATTTACTTACTTACATTGTAACAAAATCATAATTATAACCCTGTTAATAATTAATAATGTTTTTATTAAAAATATATTCCGGTTTATTCTAAAATTATCTTCAGAATCTAAAATAACATACAAGAATTTTAAAATGATATTACATTATGAAACAATATTTTTTAATATACCGGGTCGTCTCAAAAGTGGCTCAACCCTATAACTTTTTTTATTTTTTCAGATAAAAAACAGATTTGTATGTTAGTAGGTATATGACATAAATTAGGATTTATTGGACGTATTCAATTGTTTTTGGTCTCTTCCTGTTTCACCGAAATGATTACATCTTTTGATTTTTAAAGGCACCCTCGGTATATTGCTACTTTATTCGATAAAAAATGACACTCTGAATAGATTGACATATCATATGTCAACTTTTGACATTGTCGCTTAGAAACATATCCTATTTTAAATTTCAATCCAGTTTTTTTCAATCCACTAAGTTTTAATCAAGGAGCCTTGGAAAAATAGTTTTGATCGCTAATAGGTTTGATCGTTTAATAGTGTCTTGTCTAGGCCGGTTAAAAGATGTACAAATCGTATTTTTAATCATACATATGTCAATTTTTTCAAATGGAACAAGGGTGACTCATTAGCATATTTGGAAAAAGCATTTTTTTATGAATATATTGATACCACACACTTGGTATTTCGAGTCAAATTGTCGTTATGAACCGCGTGTTACAATTACAATTAAACCATATGCGAAAATGTCAAAAGTTGACATATGATATTTCATTCTATTCAGAGTGTCATTTTCTATCGAATAAAGTAGAAATATACCGAGGGTGCCGTTTAAAAATTAAAAGTTATAGTCATTTCCGGTGACACAGGAAGTGACCAAAAACAATTGAATGCGTCAATCAATCCTAATTTATTTCATATACTAACATACTAAATCTTGTTTTTTTATTTGAAAATATAAAAAAATTATGGGGATGAGCCACTTTTGAGCCGCACCCGGTATAATAAAGACAGTACCGAGTTAAATAAATGTAGTTTTTATTTTATCCACTTCCTATCACCTTCCTTGCTTTAATGGAACAGATTTATGTTTTCTCTAATTTACATAATAAGACATCACTTAACTAGAAAAAAAATTACAACAATCATTTTTTTTTCTCTCCCTGTCGCCGATTCTATTATATCTGTGGAATAGATCCGGTTTTGATTAATATTAGGGGTTGTAAATGTTTGACTAAAATTAATAATTTATTATTAATTTCAAAAATTACGTAATTTCGATTATAAAATTTCTTCTATAACGTGTATTTTATTATGTTTATCCTTTTCGGACTCTAAGACGTTTTTTCTAAACTTTTATGTAAAAAACCTGTCCTAAATCTTAATAAAATATAAAAAAGTTTAAATACGATATATTTTTAATTTAATTTTAGCTTCATTAAAATAAAAAAATTACCCGGCTATGATACGGGGAGTTCAGGTGTACTTGAGAAACGAAAGACAGTGTTGGGTTTCTCGGCAGAGTCGTCAGGGAACGACCGTTACGACAGAGACAATCTATCTATCGCTCGTGTCGCACTCGTTATAACCTAAAACAATAACACAACAATAACAAGACAGTGTCTGACCGCATGTTCCAGCTATTTATGAATGAGATGCTCAGTCTATATTTTATTTTAAGTCTATGACCTAGACCGTTATTCAGAGGCTACAAATCTATCGATGAAAATATGCATGAAAATTTACTTCCTAGCACACAACCAGAAGAAACTGGTACGCAGGTACAGTATCAGGTTTATTATAATGCATTTCTTAGCTTTAAATCAAATGTTTCTTGGTGTTTGCGCGATACTTACCACTTTTTTTCTCGCCAGCTCGTGCGTCAAGGCATGGTGTCAAGGTTTTGAATTTTTACTCTTGTCGCGCGTAAAGAAGTTTTACTTCAAAAATGATTGTATAGCAATAAAAATGCTTACCAGTTTTCTTTGTTATAACTACTTCATTCTCAGATGTATCAGATTTCTTTGGCTTGTCACCCTTTTTCACTGATGCAAAAGTGATTTCCCCCATTTCTTTAAGTTTTTCTTTTATATCTACGTCGTAATCATCATCAGGAGCTTCAGTTTTAATTACTGGAGCGGGTGGAATTGGTGGAACTTCAGCTTGTTCAACTAGTTTTTCCAGAAAAGATGTGCCATCTGTAGGTTCATCATCTTTGTTTACTGCATCAACACCAGCTGTACAAATTTTAGAAAATATGCATCATTAAAATAACATACAGAGCAGTGATGTAACGAATATCATTTGATAACAATTGCAAACGCCAATATCTGTAATTGTTATTCGCTAATGCAAATATTAGTTTGTCGGTTAACAAATATTTTATAAGAAAATTATATATGTTATAATTAAACATAAAAAGAACCTCTTAAATGTTAGTTGTTCTCTTAAAAAGTCCACATATTCCATATTTTGTGGATCTTGTTTGTTTTTAATATTTTTAGTGATAAATCAAGTTGATTATTTTAAGTTCATAATAAAAGTATGTACATTTAAAAAAAAAATGACAAAAATTTAAGAGAAGAATACGTTAGATGATGTATGTTAAATATACTGTATGCTCGAAAAAAACGGCGTCCAGTTGGCTTGGAAATAAACATCAATGACACTCCCTATATAATTTTACATATAAAATGACAGCAATCTTCATTTCATAGTCTGCTAGTCTTTTTTTCAATAATATTGTAGGTATTTTAGTTTCATAAGCAATATGATTATTTTCAATTCAAAACAAAAGAAAATATTATAGTTTAATATATAGTTTAATAATTCCTAATGAAAAGTTCTTTCTTTTTACATTAATTATGGTATCTATAACTATTAATTATGGTATCTATAACTACAAATATTTATATTTGTTATTATATTTACACCTTGTTGAACACTTTCCAACCTCAAAAATATTTATATTAAAAATTATTTACCTTCAGGTCTTTCAATTTTTTCTTCTTGATCTAAAGTCAGACCAATATTTGATCCCAGATCTTGCAACTCTCCTTCAGATTCCAGTTCAGAATCATAGTCCGATAAATCATTACCACTGAAATTTAACTCACTTAACGCGTCATTTTTTTTGTACACATTTTTATCTAATAGATTCTCAAGAGGTTTTTCTGGCGGTGGTGCCACCTTAAATCGTTTAAACGATATTTCCGGGCCTAGATCTCTTGCACCTTCGGGCAAACCACGCTTCAAATCCGGAGTCAACTTATTTTTCTCATTCTGGACTTCTTCGTGCTCAAGTTCATCTTCAGAATGATCATCATATTCATCATAACTTTCCTCTTCTGAGTGGCTAAAAGGTTCTTCGGGGAAGTCATGTTCTTCTTTAGACTTAAGTTTCTCTTGAGCACCACTGGTGTTTGGTGCTTCCACTTTAGATTCCTTTGGCTTCTCGAGTCTCTGGATAGTAACATCTCCCAGTCTCTGAAGTACAGGTTCCATCACAGTATTCTATCGAGGTAAAGTTCGCTTTTCACAGTACTCGCATTTTCAATGAACCCATTCTAACGATATTCATATCACTTTCAATTGTTTATATACAAAATGCATATTGGCCGCCATTAACAAAGTTTTGTTATAACCGGCCGTAAATAATCGTTTATCAAACACTACCGCGATAGGGAAATGAACATGTCATTAAAAAAATACATTTCAAACTAGATTTCAACCCTAAAGTCAATTAAAATAACACCTTACAAAGAGCTTCTTATGATGGAAGAGCCGAGGCCAATGATGTTTCACTACGATTTGCACTGTCAGGAAAGCGAAATATCCTCTGTGATCCAATTTAACAGTCAATTGATAAAACAAATGTAACGAATTAAGTAGACAGTCACTTAAAAATTGATTTATCTGAAAGAAAAACACTATTTTTGCACTATTTCTTTGGCAAAACGTTAGCATAAACGTTAGCCGACCACCTTCCTAGCTTATTTATTTTGGCAATTTACCGGCAGGGGCGCTGTCAATTATCATGAAATCGACAAGTAAGGCCAGGACCGGCTCTAGCCAAAAGTGATTAAAATATTAAGTAATTTAAGTGGTTTTAATTAGTAATAATACCGTCTATTTTATTTAAAATTTGTAAAAACTTATTAATAATTGCCAAAAAATATATACAACATGAAGTTGTATATATTTTATAATATATTTCAGACTTGATAACCGTTTGAAGTTAATGGTTGTGAACAGAAGTAATTTTACATAATAGAATTCCTACAAGCAAACATGCTTGTATCATGAGAGTATCATCTAAAACATTAGATGATACTCTCATACTCTTTAAATAAATAGAGGTTTCTTAAAATTTTAAATCAATTTTATTAGGAATTGCGCTTTGTGGGTTACATATATTTCCTATCTATTTAGATCAAATTTAGACATATCATATGTTAACTTTAGACATTTTAGCTTAAAAAAATCGTATTTTAAATTTCAATCTAGAGCGCCATGGCTGTATTAAAAACACTAATTCAAGGAACCTTGAAAAAATAGATTTTATGGTCTGAATGTTTTTTATGCCTTGTCCTGGTCGGTTAAAAGATGCCCAAATCCTATTTTTAATCATATCTCAATTTTTTCAAATGGAACAGGTGGTTCATTAGCATATTTGGAAAAAAGCATTTTTACAAATAATTTGGTACCACAAACTTGGTATTTCGAGTCAAATTGTCGTTATGAATTGCATGTTACAATTTCAAATAAACCATATTCGTAAAATGTCAAAAGTTGACATACGATATGTCATTCTATTCACAGTGCCATTTTCTATCGAATAAAGTAACAATATACAGAGGGTGCTCTTTAAAAATGAAAAGTTGTAGTCATTTCCGGTGAAACAGAAAGTAATCGAAAACAATTGAACACGTCAATCAATCCTAATTTATGTCATATACTAGCATACAAAATCTAGTTTAAAAAAAGGGGGGGTAAGGCAGTTTTGAAACGCACCGTGTGTACTATAGAGCCAATTTTATAGGTTCGAGAAAATCTACAGGTACTTAATTAATAATCTTGAGATGTCCTACGGAAGGAGATTTTTAAGTTGCGGTAAAATAAAATATAAAGTTTAACTAACCAAATCTTTAATTTTATTTGACTGGCAACCCCAGAGAACTAACCTCTGTAAATCTGTAATACTGGTTTCCCCTGGTACTTATGGTATTATGTTTCCCCTGGTACTCCCTTTAACAATATTGCTAAAACATCTCAAATTAGTACGATACGTTTCGATAAAATTGTTTTCACAAGGTGTGACAAGGTTTCAATAACCTTGCATTAACGTTTCTTTCTTAACCTTGCTTTGCCCGATCCAAAGTGTTAAGCCACATACAAAATTCTAAACACACGTGCTTTGATTAAGGCTTGATTAAGGTTTATAGAGCTTCAGCATTTGCCATAAAATAGCGAGCAATTTGTTACAAAACCATATAAATGATATATCACTGTAATTACAAAACTTCAATCTATAGTAACGGTAACGGAATTTTGGGCAGAGCAACTTTGCTTATTGCAATGCAGGAATTATTAAATGACGTAACTGTATGTAATACTCTTTTATTCTGTGATTTTAATATAATTTTGTAATTTTTGATAAAAAACATTCTTAGGCCGACCCTGTGCGGTAGCCAAATGACAGCTAGCTATAGATCATAAGTTGGTTGTCGAACTGCTGCGTCTCTCTCTTGAGTTATGGATTAAAAGAGACCGAAAATATATTGTCCAACCATGGAGAATTAAGAGAATGGAGAGAGAGACGCTACACCATACGTATTTCTGTAGAATAAAAACGGTATCAGGAGGCGGGGCAAAAGGAGACTAATTGGACAGGACCGGAGTAGGTAAAACTTCTAATAAAAAAAAAACGAATAAAGATTAAAATTTGCCTTGAGTTAAAATTTTAATCCACTAAATGTATGTCTGTTATGCCAGGTCCAGACCAAGCAGACAAACAACTACAAGACAGAAACATTCATGTTTTACGACAACACTGCCACAAATCCAATACATTTCTGCGACATTTTTGACTCATTTTTGTTTTGTTTCAAAATTCGGAGACTTTCCAATATCCGAGTCGGTAAAGAAATTATAATAAATAAAAAAATAAAACTTTAACCTCCTGTAGCTACGAAACAAAACAGAATCGAATCCCTATGTTGATATGAAAAATAAATCTTATTTTTACGTAAGGAATCTTCCCACGAGGGATGGAACATGTTTTTTGAAACACGCTATAGATTCTGTAGATACAGGGTCCGACAATAGTGCGTCGGGCATCTGTAGCCTTTCTGTAGCTCCTAGCCTCTCCTAGCGAATAAAAAACTTGGAAATTTCGTTTAAGTGTAAACCTAAAGTATATATGTACAGTACGTCTGACCGTTCTGTAGCTGCGGGGTATCCGTGAGAGGGGAAACGATATTCTCTCGATGTTTTTCGTAAAAAATTAGACGACGCGTCCCATCAATAAAAATTCGACAAATTTGCAAATAGCCAATAAAATGAGTGGGCGGAGCGATTTGCGGTGACGTACTCGTCAAGTCGACGTATAAAATATATTGCTGTTTATTTAAATGTTTTTTGTCCGCATTGCTTTCATAGACACAGATCCAGCAGACGTACTGTACGAGGATGTATTTCAGGAAAATATTTTAACTTCTATAGAGTGGCTCAAAAAAGTGTGAGTGTATCAGGATGATTTTTTTTTAAATTGAACACTCTGTATATTATTGCATTTTTAGCTTCCTTTCAGATCAGAGAGATTAAATAAATAAAAAATATATATTTTCAGCCTTTCTTAATCAAAATATTAAAAATACAAGAACTGTACTGAAATGAAAACTATTATTAGGTATTTATACTTTAGATAAACTTACTTTGCTATAAAAATCGCAATATTAAATCATACAGAACGTGCAAAATGTTACGACAAACTTTCTGAAATATAAAATAATTTCTCTTGTTTTTTTTTATGAAACGCACTGTATTAAATTTTATAATTAGATGAAGAATTAAAAAATTAACATTTTTTGTATTTAAAGTATTTCCAAGTGTTTAATGGTTTTGCAGATATACGCAATATTATTTCATATATTCTTCTCTCAACGGTAAAATACGACAGAAAAATTATTGGGTGGCTTTGACAAAAATTTACTCTGCAAAATACCATATGAAATATAAAACCGCAAATATCTGCGAAACCATTAAAAATTTTGAAATACTCTAAATACCGTATGATCGAATAAAAACGGCGTCCAGTTGGCTTGGAAATGACGATCGATGGCATTTCCTATATAAATTTACATATAAAATGACAGCGATCTTCATTTCATAGCCATCGCTGACGCCGTTTTTATTCGATCATACGGTACAAAAAAATGTTCATTTCGAAAAAAATCCATTTTCCTTTTAAAAAAAACGAAGAAAAATTATTTTATATTTTAGAAAGTTTGGCGTAGAATTTTGAACATCCTGCATGATTTATGACTATTTATACCGTATTTATAGCAAAGTACAGTTCTAGTGTGTTTAATATTTTTTTAAAGAAAAGCTGAAAAATATATATTTTTTATTTATTTATTAATATCTCTGAAACTATCGAAATATATTTCTTCATATCTTAGGATTATATATAGGGGCCTGAAAGGAAGCCAAAAATGCAATAATATACAAGGTGCTCCAAAAAAATCATCCCGATCCACTCACACTTTTTGAGCCACCCTATAGAAGTTAAATATTTTCCTGAAATACATCCTAGAACATACTTTAGGTTTGTACTTAAACAAAATTCCAAAGTTTTTTTTATTCTAGTAGCTACACATGCCCGACGCACTATTTCCGGACCCTGTATAATAATATCCATATATACCGGGCGGTGCATCGGCGTTGGAAACGTAGGAAATCCCATGCAAATTTTGAGCTGTCCAAATATTAGCTCCCCTGTTGATTTTACAGCGATACCCAGAAAATATCTGAAACAGTTCTAAAAAAATACCAAAAAAAATCCTTCATGGGTATTTCACCACAGCACTGCAAGAAAATCTACAAAATAAAATAGTTATTTTTTGTAAACACTTCTACGTTAAACCTAAACGGACGCTGCTTGTCAGAAGTTATGTTTACAAAATAAACTAACTATTTTATTAAAATAACTATTTTATTTTGTAGATTTTCTTGCAGTATAGTCCGCCCGAGGGGTGTCTCACTCGGGTAAAAAATGTACACGTACTGCCAAAATATCCTTCCACTGCTAAGCGACTGCCAATGAATACGAAGAAGACTGCCTATGACTGCCATGTAATTATTATAGGCGACTGCCATAAGACTGTCAATGACTGCCAGCGACTGCCAAGAAAATGTACAGGTAATTCCAATAGTGAGACATCCCTCGAGTCCGCCACAGAGGTATAGACATTTTTTAAATAGTGTAATTCTAAGGCTCACTAACTCTATCCATAAAAGGGTAAACGATCATTTAAAATATGTGCATAAAAAAAAGGAAATTCATAGGAGGTATACGCGGACGAAGTCGCGGGAAAAAGCTAGTTAATAATTAATATTCTGCTCTACTATTGCTTAACCGCAAAGATAATAAAATGAAAAATAATCTATAAGACATCAAATACGATGAATGTAGTCGCCAAAAAAAAATCCTTTCAGCATTACTCATGCTTTAAATAATATGTTAATTAGACTGTCTGATTAAACTAAATGATTTAATAATTTCGTTTAGATTAAAAATCAATAACAACAACAAAACAAACAAACAACGCTTTATTGTGCAAAAAGCCAAAACAGCTTCATCGACAAAGCAATCACAAAACAAACAAAAGCACAAAAAAAAATATATACAAACAACAAAAAATACACAATACAAATTAAACAATTCAAAAAAATTTAAGTCATTATAATTACAAAAAGTAC